CCCCCCCCCCCCACCACCCCCTCCTCTAAGCGAACACTCCCAGACCGCGCCCGTCCCCTCCCCCCCCCCCCCCCCACTCCGCAGCTCGACATCCTACAAAGCGTATCTTGTACTGGGAATCCAACGTTCTTACCAGCGTGTTTCGACAGTGTTGAACCATGGATAGTCAGATGCATTCGAGTTCGGTTGAAATTAAATCGAGATGGGACAACAAGTACTGCAGATATATATTTCACCTTAGATGGTCTCTCACCTTGCCAAACACAAAATACAACATATATAGCGATGGACGCAAACGTAGGTGCGCTGGAGTGAATCTTGGTATTACACGAATGGATCTCCTGCAACTCGGAGAGATAACAATAGCTAAAATAGTGTATACAATGCCTGCCTCGATCACCAACACCCCATTTGCACCTTCCCCCACGGTCATTTGTCATTGTTTTTTTTTTTCTTTTCTCCGGATAGCTTTGTAAGACTACTCCTCATTCGATCAATACCATGGGTAGAAAAGATGCGTATGCATGTCAGGTTTGAGATACTATAGGCTACTCGGAGACGGACCAACGGAATAAAGAGTACATCAGCATATACCGGAGCCAACGGTCTCATCTACCAAACATCCAACCTGTTCTTCCACTTGATCCCTTAGAAGATGGTATCCTAGTATAGCGTTTGAATGCACAGTGTCTACCCAATCATGCATATAGTGATATTTACTTTCCTAATTCACTATCATCGGCATCAATTGCCAACGCTGGTGGCGACTTTGAAAAATGCACTAGGACGTGGCATCTGTTAGTCCACAGTCAACGTAGTTACATCATTTGATGGCAATCGCCGAGTGAGGTCACGGCCTAATCATCTGCACCTCTAACTGGTAGCTCATTAAACTATACCCCGCATCCGCAGTTCGAGCTAGGACGAGACCACGCGACAATTTCCCCAGATAAAAAGCCAAGACGCCAAGAAGTGCATCGCCAGCGAGATGTGGAAATTTTAGAGCGATACTGCCCAATGCCACAAGTCATGGGAGCAGGAAGACTCGGGCGTATAATTTTGCATGTTTATCTTATATTGTACAACAACACGGGTGAATTTATTTTTGCAGTACTCCGTACGATGAAGTACTCCGTAATAATCTCAATAATGACGTGCAGCCGCTGGAGTCAATCTCGGGGAAAATAGGAGGACAAATCGATCTTAGTCCCCCTTCAACTCGGCCCAGGCCGTTTTCAAACCGTCGGCGCTGGTTGGGCAGATATTTTAGATAGGTAGACTCGAATGAAAGACAAGAACCGTATCACTACGGGTAATTTAGGAAGCTAAGTTTCAGAAATGATTGGCTGTGATTGATATAAAGGACCGAGAATCTACTAATTACCTTAGTGACTGTTGATCCGGGTAACGGACATAAAGAAGAAAATGCGACGGGTGTGGACGAAAAGGGGCAAAGGGCAATTCCCGGAATGTGTGAATAGATTCAATAATTGAAGATCACGGGGCAAGCTTAGCTTTCACCATGGCTATACTCCGTACATATTCCGTTTTGCGGAGGATTACAGGGGGAACCCCCTTTCTCCACCAGCCCTTACTCCTTCAGGGCGTGAACAAAAAAGCCGCAGAACAAAAAAAGCCTCAAATTCGATACATAGTTCCAGCCAGCTGGTATTCGTGTCACACGCAAGGCAGGAAAAATGAAAATGATCAGCAGAGTTAAAAAAAGCGAAGACACTAAGTACGTAAGTGAAACAAATCGCGCAAAAAAATAACTAATTGTTTCACAAAGAATGGGCTCCGGGTAGAATTTGACAAAAAAGAAAAAGAAAAGCTCGCGTTCCCGACGCCGTAGCCGGTTCGGGATCCGCCACTAACGGGGAGAAGGATCTGGGGTTGTATCGCAGAAATGCACATCCCGAGGCGACGGCGACGGTGGCCGATAAAAACCCATACATTCATAGCAGACCGCTCATGTGCGATATTAATTAGGAATCATTCTTCATAGGCTGTGGTCCAGGCCATCGCCTTCGGCGTTGGAACGTAATATGCATGGGGTTCTGCCTTTGGGGCTTGGATCTGGAGTAACTGCTCGGAGCCTGGCTTTGATCTCATTGCACCACTATAACGAGCGATTATCGTCGCCCAGCGAAAACCAGTGAAAATAGGGCTAGGACCCAGCGGCAATATCTTCTACCCACCCGATCATCCTAGGAGGTAGAAATATAAGCGCTCTGATTGGTCCCCACCGCCGCGATCAATGGATGCATGTGGCATCATCCTCGGCTGGTTAAACGCCGTTATTTGCTGCTGAGTCCTGCTCCCAGACAATCGTTCCGAGTTTGTAGCCGAGCCTATTGCCATCCGGGGGTGACAGGGTGAGTTTCATTTTGTTTTCCTTTCCACGGGCAACACATTCCGATATCAATTCGGGTTGATGCGAGCCGAAAACAGAAGAGATGGGGGATCGTGAAGGGTTAAGGTTGATCGACGAGATTATGTCAGCTCCCCGCGATTCTGAGTGGGCTAGACTAGGAAATTCTTAGACGTATATCGATTGGGTGAAGTCATTATGCGTCATTCCTGTCGTCCGTGGCTGAAGAATTCCTAGATTTGGAGAGGCACTTTTGGTAAACTCTTTTTTACGAGGTTTTAGGAACTAATGCTCAGATGATTGACGAAATGCAAAGTTCGCCCACGTAGACTGGGGTGTTTGCCGCAAGCGTCAGAGCAGCATAAAAGGGCCCCTAAACTGGTCTCATGCACCTCTCCTTGTAAACTACTCAGGAAAAAAAAAATCCATTGAGTTATTTTTGATTCTAGAACTTCTATCTGGTTCCCACTAGTATTCGCCTTCCCGGTCATAGATCCCCTTGTTCCGAATCAAGTTCGTGCTCATTTGAATAACTCGGGTCAAGTCGGACTGCGCCTCCAGGTCTTTGCAACCCACGGCAGCACTTCATCCCCATCCATCAAGCGTGTTCCTCAGCTCGGCGTTCAGCCCCGACATCACCCGTGGAACTGTGGAGAAACACTACGGAAAGTGCACGAGAACCCTCCTTCATACCAAGACCGATTGTGACCATGGCCTCTCTCGGAAAGGATTATATACCCCTCGACCGCTCCAATTCTCCTGGTCCTCTGGCATCAGATTTCTCTCAACAACAAGTCGCTAAACAACGCAACAATAACTACCACTCTACTTCACTCAGAAATATGGTTGCCACATCTGTGAATCGCACTGCCTTGCACCCCGGCGGTGTTCAGTATGTTACCTTCCTATCTCACTGTCCATACCTCATCGTCGCTAACTGTCTTCACTTAGGCCTAGCAAGGGTCACACCGAGCTTGAGGAGGAGCTTCACGAGACTGCTCACATTGACTACGACCGTGTCTCCATTGTAAGACCTCACCACCCTTGCGCTAGACATTTGATTACAATGTCCATGTCGTCCATCTTGCTTCATCTACTAACATCATTTAGATTGCTAACCCCTCTGTTCCTGCCCTTTACGAAGATGCTCTTGTCTACGAGACTGGTACTGCTGTTACCTCCAGCGGTGCTTTGAGCGCATACTCCGGTGCTAAGACTGGTCGTTCCCCCTCCGACAAGCGTGTCGTCCAGGAGGCTTCCTCAGAAAGCGATATCTGGTGGGGACCCGTAAATAAGCCCATGACACTGGATGTGAGTAAACTTTTTGATTCTTGATGCGTGATCACACTCGATATGTCATTGTCCTCATTGGAGCACACCCTTGCAGATGGGCCCGAGGAGATCCACTTGGATCCCTTGCATATGCATCGGGAGGTCAAGCTTTTCGGCAAGACTTTGTGCAACCTTTTGGGTTGCGGTCTCTGCCGGATAATCCCTCATTGCCTTTCCATCATCATCCCAGGGAATATTTCCTTCCCCCAGTTTCATTGCCCATTACTTGCCCCCCCCGATTTGCCCCTCGGCTTTCATTTGCGGCTCCGCAATCCCCGCCCTTGGCCCGATGACATCACGTGAATGACGTCAACAATAAGAATGGTGACTAATAGATTCCCCACAGGTCTGGCGTATCAACCGTGAGCGTGCTGTCGACTACCTGAACACCCGTAACCGCATCTATGTTATCGATGGTTACGCCGGCTGGGACAAACGCTACCAGATCAGCGTTCGCGTTGTCTGCGCTCGCGCCTACCACGCTCTCTTCATGCGCAACATGCTGATTCGCCCCAGCCGCGAGGAGCTCGAGCACTTCCACCCCGACTATGTTATCTACAATGCTGGCTCTTTCCCTGCCAACCGCTTCACTGAGGGTATGACCTCTGCCACATCCGTGGCCATCAACTTTGCCGATAAGGAGATGGTTATCCTTGGTACCGAGTACGCTGGTGAGATGAAGAAGGGTGTCTTCACCGTTCTCTACTACGAGATGCCCGTCAAGCACAACGTCCTTACTCTTCACTCCTCTGCCAACCAGGGTCCGGATGGTGATGTTACCGTCTTCTTCGGTCTGTCTGGTACTGGCAAGACCACCTTGTCCGCTGATACTAAGCGCCAGCTGATCGGTGACGACGAGCACTGCTGGACTGACACCGGTGTCTTCAACATTGAGGGTGGTTGCTACGCCAAGTGCATTGGTCTCTCCGCCGAGAAGGAGCCCGATATTTTCAACGCCATCCGCTTCGGCTCCGTTCTTGAGAACACCGTTTTCGACCCCGTCTCCCGCGTTGTTGACTACGATGATGCCACCCTTACCGAGAACACCCGTTGCGCCTACCCTATTGAGTACATCGACAACGCCAAGATTCCCTGTGTCAGCGACAACCACCCCAGCAACATCATTCTGCTCACCTGTGATGCCCGCGGTGTCCTGCCTCCCATTTCCAAGCTCACCCCGGAGCAGACCATGTTCCACTTCATCTCCGGTTACACCTCCAAGATGGCTGGTACTGAGGATGGTGTCACTGAGCCCCAGGCTACCTTCTCTTCTTGCTTCGCTCAGCCCTTCTTGGCTCTTCACCCCATGCGCTACGCTCACATGTTGGCCGAGAAGATTAAGCAGCACAAGGTTAACGCCTGGCTCCTGAACACCGGTTGGGTTGGCGCTGGCGCCACCACTGGCGGCAAGCGTTGCCCTCTCAAGTACACTCGTGCCATTCTGGATTCCATCCACAGCGGCGAGCTGGCCAAGGCTGAGTACGAGAACTACGCTACCTTCAACCTGCCCGTGCCTACTTCCTGCGCCGGTGTCCCCAGCGAGCTCCTTAACCCTGAGAAGAGCTGGACCGCCTCCACTTCCTTCAAGGATGAGGTCACCAAACTTGCTGTCCTCTTCAACGAGAACTTCCAGAAGTACTCTGATGAGGCCACCCCCGATGTCCTCGCCGCCGCCCCTCAAGTTTAGAGGGTTGGAGCGATGGTTAAAAATTTCTTTTTCTCCTTGTTTCTTGTTCTTCCAAACAGGATGAATAAGTCATTTGCATGGCGTGCTGCTTTATTTTGATGATGCTCTTTGGTCGCCGACGTCTGCCGCTTGTATCGGGACAAGCGGATGGATCTTTATTGATTTCCCCCCGATTTGGGTTGTGCTTTTTTATTATTTTTTGCCATCTATCTTTGACTGGCTGGGAGTTATGTAGTGATATTAATGAAGGAATTTATTACATCATAGTCACCGCAATGGATCATACCTCATTTCTAAACTTACTCTCAACTAATATGTTTTTGTATTCCAATGGCTGCTTCTTGTAGCATCCATGGTGGTATTGTTTGATGATCCCTGGTTGACAGTGCGCTGCCATTAAACACTCGTCAACGACGCCTTGGATCTATTTGCACCTACCTGGTTATGTCGGTCAGCCATTTCATGATTTTACGATGTTCGGTTAGACGCGTTCGCAAGGCGGACTTAACAAATATAGTCAGTTGGGTGATATCATCGGAAAATTACTACAGTTTGAGTCTTCCGCTAAGGCATTTGGGGAGGATATATTGAATGACTTTTGGCTCAAGGATAGAAAGTGAGGTCATCGCCTTCTTCACTAGTAGACTCTAGCTGGACCTTAGGAACCTCGTCTTATGTACGGTTGGCCTAACCCAAAGACCAATAGTCCTTTCTGAATTCTGAATTCTGAACTCTGAACGATAGAATGTTTGATTTGATGTATTTCTCTATGAATGCTCATCTTGCTTGCCGCGAAGCTATCGACAGCGCAAGTGACTTTTGGGCGAAATCATCCCTATCCTTTGGTAGCCGGGGTTATCATGCAAAGCCCCGTATTGATGATAGATACAATTCAGGTGAAACGGCGAAGGTATGGAAAAGCCAACATTCCGACGGGATGCATTAGCCGTCATGATGCTAGCTGGTATCGGGTTTGAGAGGTATGCTTTTGAAGAAAGAAGAGACGGGGAGCTGAGTCAACACCAACATTCGAAAAACTGTTTGTCGCTATGCATATCTTGCCCGCCCAAACAGACCATCGTTGGGGGTAAAAGAAGTAGTTGTGAATCCAAACGGGCTTGTAGTATTTAAGGTATTCTCAGGTTTGGCAACTTTTTTTTGCGCTCGACTTTCGGCGTCTTTCCGTTGATATTCCCTGTTGATGGCATCCTTGGAGGAAAGGAGTTGAGAGAGTGTCGAAGCTAGGTCACTCATAAAGTCCCCAGTGTCTTCTTGGAAGTCGGCAAAATCGTTCCTAAATTTCTCATGGGACGCGGCAATAAAATCGCATAAATCTTTGCGAGCAAGATCGCTCGATAGGAGCGTGCTGCCGTAGATAATCCGAATCGTATCTGCCAGAGAACCACTCGTTGCGTAGGGCGAACTCCCATACTCTTTCAGAAAAGGTCCAAAAGCATCCTTCATTAGGACACGAGCATAATCTTGTAGGTCCATAACAAGATAACGCTGGGCGAATGAGTAGACCTTCGCGTGTAGAACTATAGCATCCCCCGTATAGCTTCGAGAAGTCGGTGAGGAGCTGGATGTAGCATCTAAAAGCACTTAATAGGTTAATAGTAGAGTTATTGCAGATCAGGTAGACTCACTGTGTTCAGTAGATGATTTTGTTGGTTCTTGTAGTACTGATTTTTTCTTGCTTGGATGCAGTTCCCATGGGGTAGTATATTTCTGGGAATAGCAAAATTCCAGAACACAACTGATAGTTTCTTCATCGAAATCGGACCAGTCCAATAAGTCTTGTCCGGCAAACTTCCATGGTCCAGTCACCCTAGCGGTTAAGGCAGATTTGCCTTGGATCAGAGCACCGGGGTGGACATAGAAAGTGGTTTTGCGTTCCCCTACAGCAGCCTTTAACGGGCTTTCCATGTAAATGATTTTCGGCCATTAGCACTTGAACGAGGAAAAGGAAGAAATGGGTTTCGTCCAGTACCTATGGACCGGTGTCTCTTCGACTGAGCTCATGATGGATGGGATGTAGAGTTGCAACAAAGACAGAGGACTTGAGATGGCCGGTGTCAGAAAGAATAGGAAGGAGGGAGGGGGGAGAATGTCATGAGAAATGAAGTTTGAATGAAAATCAGGCTTAAGTGAGAAGACTCCGCAGCAAACTCGTGATGAGCCCAATAATACGACCGCAAGGAATGATAGAAATATTACGATTGGTCTCACAACTATATCATCTTTCGATGCCCCCCAACACGCCTTGTCTTCAGCCCAGCTCCAGAAACCAGTTCTGACTTTGTCTGTCGCTGCTGCGCATTTCCTAAAAGAGCTTGGATTACTGGTCTGGTGATGTCAATACCATCAAATTCTCACTAATAATCTATCACCTAAAAATTATATGAAAGAATACGCGTTTATAGAAGCCAGCAAGGTCAATTCTTAGTATGATCAGAAATGTAGAAGGCAGCTATATCGCCTACACTCAAACCCGACTAAGCCCGATCCGTGCTTGTTAACGTTGTAAATCACGGTTTAGTTGGTGTAAATCTTGTAGTAAGACTCGCTAAGGCTCTCTTTGATTTTTATCTTTTCTATAACTAAGCAAGTGAATCTAGCAAAGTAATACAACTCGTAAATGTTTACAGCCTAAGTAGGTACATACTGACTACAAGTAGGTACCAATCAAGAGTGATGCAAAACAAACGGAAGGAATCAAGCAGATGTGATCGCGGGCCCCGAAGCTCAGAAAGATCTTGCGTGTGGCAATTGCTACCAAGGCGAGAGAAAGAAAGGTATCCCTAATATTGAGATATCAAGGCACTCGTCCACCACTAAAGAAGAAACGATTCTGCTGTTTACTCGGCAGCTGGTAGTAACATCTTCTCCACTCAGCAAGGTAACCGTCTTTCTTCTCACATGTCTTTTGCAGGTCAGCCTTGGAGGACTGAAGGAGAGTAAGCTGAGCCAAAAGTTCGCAAGCTAGTTCAGTCATAAAGTCCCCAGTTTCTTTTTGAAATTGGGGAAGGTAATGAGCGAACTCCTCGTGTGATGAGGCAATAAAGCTGCGAAGCGCAATGCGAGCAGCATCAATGTTAGTATCTGACGAGAGCGTGCAGCTATAGATGATCCGAACCGCCTCCACTAGAGAGAGACTTGTTGCTTGGGGTGAAGAGCTGTATTCTTCTAGACAAGGCTTGAAGCAGTCCTTCATCTGAGTCAGGGCAAAACTTTGTAGCTCATCGATGAGATAATGCTGGGCGAATGAGTAGACCTTAGCATGTAGCACTATAGCATCCCCTGTGTAGCTTCGGGTGGCAAGTGGGGAACCAGACTCAGTATCTAGGTGAAAAGAAGCACTAAGTAAGCTGAGCTCCTGGGCCTTCAAACTCTAATCAACTTACCTTCCTGAGCGTCTAGTTCAGTCAACACTAGCTCTGGCTCTGGATTCCCCGTGTTCATAGCCGACTGCCGTGGGACATCGTATTGCCGGCCATGAAAGAATCTCAGAACGCAATCAATGGTTTCTTCATCAAAATAAGACCAGTCCAATGTTTCCTCTCCGGCGTTCTTCCATGGCCCAGTCACCCTGGCAGTCAAGGCAGATTTGCCCTGTATCAAAGCACCGGGCTGGAAATGGAAAATGGTTTTGTTTTTGCCAACAACGGCCTTGATTGGGTCTTGCATGAATATACTTTTCACTTATCAGTAATAGAATAGCAGTGGAAATGAGATATGGCGGTACCTTTCAAACTTGGTTCCTTCTACCGAGCCCATGATGAATGCCACTCGGATTTTCTTCAGTTAGATATGCTTGTGGTTGACAGAGAAAGCCAGGGGAACGAAGAGGGTCCTTGTAGATAATAAGGAAGAGGAGGCGCTAATGGAACCATGATAGAAAGATGACCGTGACAACCACATGGCAAATATATATCAACTATACGATTGATGCACCCATGGAACCTGACAAAATGATGATGTTTGGATGCATGGCTGCTATAATGCGCGTCCTTTGTCAGGTCAGTTTCACGTTAGTTTGACCTTGCTTTGTGTATGATCCTCGCCCCCAACTAGATAAGTGACCAAAGACACCTGAAAGATTCAAATAAAAAGGAACTGGATAAAGATGCCAAAGGGTCAGAGGTCAGGGGTCAAAGAGAGGTACGTAGAACTTGTGAATAGAAAAAGAAAACCTCAATCCCGCTCCTACAACTAGGCCCGGGCTCCTCAATTCGATATCCGTCCAGAAAAGCCGTACGAGGAACGTTCCCGAACTCCTATGCCGGTAGGCCGTGGGTCCAAATATAGGCTTGAGGCTAGTGGAGTTCCCGACGTGCCGAGAACCCTTTACACGGAATGAAGTGGGAGTGATGATGCGCTTTTAGGGTCGAGCTAGGCACGGAGTGGATTCCGCGGAAGACACACCTACATTTCTAGAATTGGAAGGGTTAGAATAATAGCGCTGGTCGACGTTGTTTACAAGGAAGTGACGGAGTTTGTTGTGTATGGCGGTTTCCGAGACTGTGATTTCTTTTTTGTCGTAGAATAATGCAGATAGCTGAATATGTTCATTGACATGGAGAGGTCCGTGGCTAAGCGCATGAATTGTTTGGCGGCATTTCATCTTCGTTGTCAGGACTTAATTTAAACCGGACCTCGGACTCTGAGAGATGCAACGATTGAAACATGGGGCGGGTCGTAGGTCGTACATTATTACCGAATGATGAGATCCGATACTAGGTGTCTTTTGCGCACTCACGGTTAGCTTAGTCTCCCTTCGCTTCGCGAACCTTTCAACCCTGCCAATTCGAATAGAAAAAAAGCGCCGTCTATTTTCCGTGCCATATTGCCATATTGAGAACGAGTATCCATGCGTGCGCATTGTTCGGGGAACAGACCTCCGCTGACTCTGACCGACTTGCTCGGTCCTTTTGAAACGACGTTGAAAGTTGACGACTTATATCCGTAATCGTCACAAAGGACCAATACCATGAAGCAGATGCAACACAGAGACGGTGTGAGAATCCACCCCAGAAGCTTACTGTCATATTTATTGCCGGTAATCGGCGGAAAAGAGCCAGAGACAGGCCAAACCGGAGGAATATGTGATGACTGGCTCTGTCAACGCGACAATAAGTAGCGGGAGCCGCAGGTCCACACAGGGAAAAGGGGGATCATTTAGGATCTCAATGGATGAGATTGGTCGGCGGCCAGGGGCAGGTTGCAAGGACGGGGCCCACCACAGCGTCAGCGAAATGATGGTCGGCCGATTGGACTGCCGAACATAGTCGGATCATGGCCCGAGGGTAGCGGCAAAAAATTAATGAGGTGGAATAGCCGGTCAGATTGGATTCTAGACACTGGGACTTTGCCAGGGCCCTCGATAATAAAAACCGAGTCCGATATACGGCTAATCCGTGCGTATTGAGTCCAATGTTCGTAGAGTTGATCCCGGGAGATTGTACTGGGAATAACGTGCGGCCTGCGTTTTTGAACAGGGTATATACCGGACATTAGCAGAATGTGTAGGTATAAGTAATTCGATCCCCGAGATATGCCCGGAGAGGTTGTCTAAGCGGTGTCGGGTCTATCTGTATGGACGGGATCCCGATAAGTTCTCGTGGGGAATCCAAAAGCGGCTTAGCGTTGGTGGGGATTCCGGATTTAGCTCGTACTCGTACTAATATATATCTGCCTCGTTGATGTGGTTGTAGGGCTTCGAGGGGGATGAATGGAATATTGACAGTCTGTTCTATGTTAGGACAATATTGGACACAGCTCTGGAATATTTTATACCTCCCTTCACATAGATATAGGTAGTAGATGGCACGTTTGGCGAATTCAGGATCGTCCATCGACCCCCCGCATTTTGACAAGCTCCATAGCATGTCCACATTCGTGCATGGTTAATCGAAATCATGTAGATATCATTGGTCCAACACGCAAATCCTTGTGTGGAGAGGCCTGGTTCTGGCGACTTTCGCTCCATACGGTCCAACAAATGCCAGACTTTATTTCCGTCTATTGTCTCTCATCCCATACATCCTGAGCGGGGAATCCGCGGATAGCCATCGGTTGAGCGTCGGTTGAGGGGTCGGTTGAAGGGCAATAACCTCCGGTTCGGAACGAGTTTGCGGCTGTGTAGATTGACTTGGACATTTGAGCATATTAGAACAAGCGCAGGCCCCCATTGTCCCGGTTTGACCTTGTATAGTTGTACCAGAGTACTCGACTCTACACGACATAACCACCCCGCACCTTCTCTGTCTTGTGACTTTTCTTGTGTCTCCCCTCATATTCTCCCTTGGCCTCTGTTCTCTGTTCTTTGCTTTCAAATATTGACCCTGTCGACACCTCCTGTCCTGAATCTCATATAAAAGCAACACTACGTCATCGGTAAGTACCATGGTCCAAGATCGTGGACAGTCCCCGTGGCTTCCAAATCCACCAAAGAGGATCCTGCTAGTCTCCTGCAAAGGGCATCTCCCGTGCTTCTTGACATTCTCCTATACATCGTGCATTGTATTGACCTGCATCTACAGTAGGACCTGAATACTTCACTATGGCATCCACTCTCAAGGATAGGGCCGCCAACCATGCTGCTGCTTCTGCGGAAAATGGCACTGAGCCCGAAGCTCCTCCCGACCTCCTGCACCAGCCGTACGTCCGCGCCGTCCTGCCCTTCATCAACGGCGGACTGTCCGGTATGACCGCCACCGCCGTGATTCAGCCCGTCGATATGGTCAAAGTGCGCCTGCAGCTCGCTGGCGAAGGAGCCCGCACTGGTCCTCGCCCATCCGCCCTCGGCATCACTCGCGAAATCATTGCCTCCGGGAGAGTCCTCGATCTCTATACTGGTTTGTCCGCCGGTATCCTCCGCCAAGCCGTCTACACTACTGCACGCCTGGGATTCTTCGAAACATTTATCAAGAAGCTCAATGCCCGCGCCAAAGCCGCAGACCGGAACGTAACCTTCGTCGAGCGTGCTGCGGCAGGACTGACGGCCGGTGGAGTTGCAGCCATGATTGGAAACCCGGCCGACCTGTCCCTCGTGCGCATGCAGTCCGACGGTCTCAAGGCCCCCGAGGCTCGTGCTAACTACCGTTCCGTCTTTGATGCCCTCGCTCGTATCACCCGCACCGAAGGAATCGGTGCTTTGTGGGCTGGTGCTTCTCCTACGGTTGTCCGTGCTATGGCCCTCAACATGGGACAATTGACTTTCTTCGCCGAGGCTAAGCAGCAGCTTAAGCAGCATACTTCCCTCTCTGCTCAGAATCAAACTTTTGCTGCTTCCGGAATTGCTGGCTTCTTTGCTAGTTTCTTGTCTCTGCCTTTCGATTTCATCAAGACCCGTCTCCAGAAGCAACAGAAGGACCCCAAGACTGGCTTGGTTCCTTACAAGGGCATGGTGGATTGTGCGCGCAAGGTTGCCAAGGAAGAGGGTTGGTTGCGTTTCTACCGTGGCTTCGGAACATACTATATCCGGATTGCTCCTCATGCGTCAGTCCCCCACTATTTTACCCCAACTTTCCCCCTCACTGACTCGATCTACAGAATGGTTACCCTCATCGTGGCTGATTATCTCAACCTCCTCACCAAGTAAACTTGCTTTGAAAGCCTGGATTATCGGTCTTCGTTCTTTTACATTGCTCTCCGATTACACGATATCGCATCGACACGCTCAGTTATGCGATTTAATACTCTCAGCACGCCACAGGGTCTATTGATAGACCCAATCTGCTATTTTTAATATCCATGGGAAGCGCAGCGTCCGGGGGAAGACAGCCAATTCAACTCCGAGACACTTTATACTCCGTTTGGCCGATGTGCATCGCACAAACCTATAATGGCAAATCACCCATGGTAGATGTGGTTCGACATTCGGAAGACATGGTACCGGCGAAGGGCTATTGCCACATACAATTTATTTTTCTTTGGGAAGAGAAAATGTCGGAGGATACGCGGCCGGCCGGTCTTCTCCGCGGAAAGCCACGACAACAGAATGCAAAACATAGTCTTTGTCACCCCCTTGCTCGTTTTCTTGTTGGTCGGCTTTTGTTGTGTTTCGACAAGCGAATACCCTCTTGTCTTGCTCTGTTCTTTGCCTCTATACCTCTACCATACTTTATGTTGGTCTTGGTCTGCTTTAGATATGTTAGTTAGGTAGTATCCTCAGCGGATATAGTGTTTACTTGCCTATTTCTCTCGTTCCATTTTCTCCGATAGTAAAACATTCCAAGATCTCTTTGTCCTAGATATGGAGTAGTATGTGAGCCTTTGCACTGACTTTGAGCATTCGAACTTTCGAGTTTCCGGTGATGACTATCATATTTTCTAAATTATTGTAGTTAAGAACAGGTAAGTTGTCCCATTGTGTATGTGAATGTATTCCATCCTAACGCCGAAGCAGAAGGCAGGTCCTACAGAATAAAAACAAACAAGAGATAGACATCCCATCGTGAAAGTGAAACTATTCACCATTAAAACCGACATCGTAAAAACAGAGGCCCAAAATGCACCACTGGCAGTAGGCAAGCCAGATGGCCGTGGGGAATCACAAGGGTACAACGTGAAAAGGAATAAAACAGAAGATTTGTTCAAGGTCCAAACCTGAGACTCGGGACCAGATCCAACACAGCCCGTCGTTAAAAAAAATAAAAAGAGAAAAGATCGCATCCAGTCCACTTCTCTTCCGAGTCCATATTAGTTTCGATTAGATCTTCTCCTCGCCAACACGCTTTGACTCAACAGCGCCAAGCGGCAGCACGTCCTCAAGTGTCTCGTCAGTTCCCTGAATATCATCCTCCACGGGAACCGAGTCCTTGATCTTGAAAAAGACAACAGGGACAGCAATGAGGATCGACCCGCACAGAAGACCGAAGTTCGAGGCATATTCGTTCATATACGGCAGCTTCTTCTCGTCCAACGACCACATAACGGCCGCACCGGCGGATTGCAGACCCTTGTAGAAGCCTGCCAAGTTGGCGAGCTTGCGACCGGAGTTACCGAGGGCGCCCATGATCCTAGAAGAAACAATGTTAGTCAGCATGTCAGGGGAAAAGAGGGAGGGATTCTTACCAGTAGACAACACCCTGCCAGGCAGCATCGTACATGCCGTAGAAGAAGTAAAGGAACATAGGACCAACGTAGCCCTTGGTAGTCCAATCCCAGCCCTGGAAACCTGTGATTTTCGCGTCCACATCCTCACGGGTGTACCTCCTCTGCCAGGCGTACCCACTACCCCAAATAACGACCGTGAGGATGAAAAGGCCGACCAAGGCTGCCCTAGCACGAATAGTACGACGGACGCGCTCCGAATCAAGCAGAGGGCCCATGATACAAGCGGCCACGATCTGCGCAAACCAGTACAGGAAGCCGTTCAGGGCCTTGGTGCGCGTGTTGAAGTAGGCGCCGTTGATAGAGTTCTGCTGGTATGTGTAGAACCAGTTGGAGGACCAGAACATGGGGAACAGGAGGACGATCCACGGCTCCGAGCGGACTGTCTCCCACAGGCCGACGATCTCGGACTTCCAAGAGGGGTGCTTCATCAGGATGACGCGCGAGCCGTCGGTACGCACAACCTTGTCTGCGTCACAGATGAACAGAGCAAGACAGGCGCCTGCAAACATGAGTACGATAAAGGCGATGTAGGTACCGTCGCCGACAGTCTTGTTTGACGTGACGTGGATGTTTTGGCCCAGGGGAATCTTTAGATTGACATTGTTAGTTGTTGTTGATGGATGGTCTAGCCAATTGCAAGTATAGGGCTAGGTATCAGGGGCTGGGCTGGTCTTACCAAGCTACCGATACAGGCGCCGATGTTGAAGATAGCCCAGAACCAGGCGAAGTAACGGCCCTTCTGCTGCTCAGTCGGGTAGGACATCATGATGGTGCCCTGGGCGCCCCAGAGTAGACCTGCGCAGACACCGAGGAAGGCGCCGGCGAAGATGTTGAAACCGGGGACATATCGATGCTCGGAGACCAGGAGACTAATGGAGTAAATGCAGTAACCGATTCCACCGAAGGAGAGAGAAAGACGGACGCCGACACGGTTGACGACGGTTCCGGCGAAGAAACCCACGACGGCGAAGGTACTGTTCAGGGCGATGTTCTGTTGTTGACAACTTGTTAGATTGTGCATATAGAACGCGATCCAATCGGAGTTTCGGAGTATCAAATGGGAAGAGTGGAGACGAGATAGAGAACAAGTGCCGAGGTCCAATCATACCATTTTGTCAGCCAAGCTTGGGTCGGACTTGCCACCACCGCCCATCCCGCTCAAGGCGTTAAACATGCCTGGGCAGAGGAAGCAGACAAAGGCGACCATACCCAACTGGATGCGTGGCGAGGCATACCAGCCGGTAGAGAACTTGCCGATCTTCCCAGACTTGTACATCCATCCTGCGGGTCGGGGTATGTATTCAGGTTCGGAGGAAGATTCGACGGGAGTCTTCCGTTCATCCATTATGAATGAAGACGGAGTGATGCCGCAGAAGAATAGACGATAAAAGGTGGATGTAGAGAATATTAACAGGTGTGTGTGGTGATGAGGAGAGAAGATCAACAGGAAGACATGGGATTCTTTAAAACAAAAAAAATCATAAGATAGCCAGCTTGTACAATGTACCCCTGCCACTCGAAGACAGGTATAGGTACTGAGTCCAGATTACAATGCAGAGATAGATGTATCAACAGCCAAAATAGTGTATGTTGCAGGGTAGCATTGGGTTTGGTCACGGGCTGGAGCTAGCTTTATGTGGCTGGCCTTAGGGAAAAGGATAGGCTTAGATATTGGTGGTAGATACAATTGGACAGGGGTTCTTATTTGCGGGGAGCTTAGGTAGGTGATTGGGGGCCAGGACGCTTTGATAGTAGTGTTACACCGGGATGGCACTGTGTCTTTGCTCTGGCAGGCCTTAAGAATAACTGGGGAAAGAGATGTAGTATTTGTAGGTCAGCGACGTTACGACGGGGGCTAATATAGAGTTAGCGAGGATTAGAGTCACATCCCGTGGGAAAAACGGAAAATCCCAACTTGGCAGACTATCGCGAGACTTATCGTATAAGCGATTAAGGAGAAGGAAGGGACGGGTGCTGATTGGTTGGCTGGGGACCCACAGGCGAGTCCGCTGGTTCAACTGCGGGGAGAGGCCAAAAGAGGACTAGCGCAATCATTCTTGTTTCGGAATTTTGGCACATTTTTGACATCTGACAGTCACCACGTTTCTTGATCTATAGTTAGTCGCGGTATAAATCGGATGGAGAGTTGATTTGCAGAGATACAGTCAGCTTCCAGAATTAGTATCAGAAATTAAATTCCGGAACTTTGGTCTGAAACGTTTCATTTTCGGCTTGACCGAAGGGAACTTCATTTAAAAATGTGAAAACGTAAAAGCATATCAGTCGCTGTCTTGGCTTTCATCCTCGGACCCCTTCTCGATCTTGGGTTGAATATCACTATCACTGTCTTCACTGTCGCTGTCGCTGTTGCTGTCCTCGCTATCCTCGCTATCACTATCCTCACTACCCTCTTTATCCTGCGCTTTCTCATTCGGCACATCCGCTTGTACGTCTTTCTGAGCGTCCGCATCCCCATTCTCTTGGTTCTGCTCTTTCTCGTTGTCCGCAGCTATCTCAACCTCTTCATTCCCCGTCTCCTCAATTTCAACTTCCTCGTCTGCTTCTTCATTCTCTCCTGCATTCTCCACATTCTCCGTATCCTCAATCTCCGCATCACTCTCCGCATCGCTGCTTGACCCGTCGTCGGATTCAACGGCCCGAGCAACCTGACTGAGCGGCTCCTGTTTGACGCGCTGTGAGGCTTGCTGAGCATCCACATCCATAGCATCGTCATCGCTTTCCGCGTCACTACCCAACGTAATGCCGGTACTTCGATCCTTCCGCTTTCTCCCATCACCTTCAAGGTGATCGTCTTCATCTTCGCGCTGCTGGAGCTCTTGGGCACGGCGAACCCGTCGTAGTAGAACAGGATCTGGCCGCAAATCATCCGCAGTCAACGGAGTAGAACAAACAGGACATTTGACCACACGGATGCGGTGCTGGCCCCGACGAGATGCCGGGGGCGCAATAGTCGTCTGGCTGCGGCTGATCATGTCCATAATGGCCTCCCGCTCGAAGCTGTGCGGACATTTGGTGCTCTTCACAGGATCCTGGTAAAGTGTGAGAGTCAATGGGCATTTGAGGGAGATGCGCTCGCGCTCAATGGCAATGTCATCGTCGGAGCCGGCGGGCGAGACGCCACGGTTCTGGTTTCGCGTACGTGTCGATACCCCCGATCGCACATTCCTATCTTCCATGTGCTCAAACCATGTAGAGGAGTGTGGCAACGGTGGGACGTCGTCGCCGGGGAACTTGGAGTCGTGGACCATCCGGTAGAAGCCAATGTAGTTGTTATTGCTGGCATATCTAGATCGTAGTTGTCAGTATCTGAGCCGTCGGATAAAACAGCCAATGGCTAGGAATAATCTCATACCTCTCTGTCAAAGATAGCTCCTCCCACTTCTGGACTCCCTCCGTCAACTTATCGACCAGCTTGCGACTAGGCGGGTTCTGTGCATTGCGCTCTCGCATCTCCCTCTCCAGCGCATCTTCAGAATTACCATCGTTGGGATCCTCAGTCCCATCTTCATCATCGTCATCATTGGCTCTCTGCCTTGTCCGCTGTTGACGGGTCTGTCTCACCCCCAAAGCAGCAGCGACATTCTCACCCTCCTCCCTTTCAATTTGACCCAGCACATCGGTTAACCCCTGGAGCTTGATTTCCGAATCGACAATCAGTCGTGTCTTCTCCTCCATCCGCGCAGTAATAGCACTGACTCGAGCCTCTGCGTCAGCAAGCCGCTGGTACTCCTCATTGGACTCGTCGTCGTCGACATTCTCTTCACCTTCACGCCGACGCGCTTCTTTATTTTTCTCGTATCGTCCCCGAGAATCGCTAAGGCGCTCATTTACTTCACCACCTGAGTGTGTGAGTTTCTCGACGGCATGTTGGAGATGGGTGCGAAGGTTGCGGAGGTGATGTGATGCGAGGAGAGCTGCGATTTTGCGCTGGCTTTCTGCTGTAAGGGGTGCCTCGGGGACCTCATATTCTGGCAGGGGTATTGCATCTGAGACTGAGGTATGGCTTGCGTTTCGTCTGTGCGATTGTGCTGATGGTGGATGGGACTGAGATTGCGCTTGGCTTGGTGTGGCCGACATTGTTGTGGGGGAAGAATTCTTGTAGTGGGTGAGTTGGTGAGATGCGGATTACTAGGAGTATTATGCTTTGATTCGGGTACAGGGCTTCCAAGCCGTTGACAAAGAAAGTCCAAGTAACAAAGCGCATCTCGAAATCCGGACGCGAGACGCGATTACGCTAGTCCTGTTTGGGGTTGCGTATACCAACGATAAGCCTTATCACTATAGAACATTGGAAGTACTCTGTCTTCCCCGACATACTACATTGTGACGACTGCTTAGAAAAACGAAGTCAAAATGAGATGGCTTAATCATACACAGCTTCCCAGCAACAAAGGCTTCTTGTTTTATAAATCTGCATTTGCTCTGAAACTAGTTGCAACCGTTAGTCCCACTCTAACTGCCATGTCGAAGATGCGGATGGCTTGGCGTCCGTACACACATTTGATTCAACACAGATCTGCATTTACTGAATAGTATAACGAAGCAACCTTATGCAGCGCTATCCTCTAGCGGTGCAAGTGCCGCCGCTAAGAGACCCAGTGGCTGCTTACCCGCAGCCTATAACTCGATCATACTCCACAGTCAACCCCAAGAGCCCACAATTGACACATGAAATCCTGTCATACCCTTTTTGGGAGTGAGTGGATATGCCCGTAGGCAAGGTTCTCTTGGGAACTGTAATCATCAATCGTGCCATGCAAGTGATTGAGAACTATTGTTATTTGACAAGTAAGAAGAAGAAGATTATTTGGAATTGAAATACAAATGGTGAGCGAGGAAGAGTTCACAATGAAACATTAAAAGAATCCATGAGCCTATACCTTGTAGAAGCAGTATGCATGGTAGAAGCCTAGCGATGTCATCTGTTAGCAACTGCGAAAAGCAATACACATATGGATATTACTCACTGACAGCCTCCTTCTCTTCCTCTGTCATATTCAAAGCACCAGTCGCGCGGTCTCTTACGCCCATGCGATCACCCAGCGGGCCCAGCTCAGGATGATTCTTCTCATCCTCCCAAATATCCAAAAATGGCTTGCGGTATTGTAGTTCTAGGTTGTAATCTTCGGTCAGGCTGGGTTGAAAAGTTAGTTATGCATGGCAACGTGATGAAAGTCGGAACTCACGCTCGGAAAGCCTCCCAGGGAACAACGTATTCGGGAACCTCTTCTACTGCCTCCTTCATGAAGTAACTGTACTTCCACCCGAACGGCGGACGGAAGATTCCGTCTTCGGGGGTTGCGCCAGGGAATTGAACGCGATAGATATCGTTGCCCCACTGGGCCCGCTCATCCTCTTCGACTTCACCATCCTCGGGGCCTTCTGGTTCAACAGGTTTAGCAGCCTCGCGCTCCTTGCGCGCCTTATGGAAGGCAGACACGCGGCTGGTAATGACGTCTGAGTTGGGACAAACCCCAAGGAAACGACCACCTTTCTTCAAGCAACCCGCGACATTGCTGAGCATTTGGCGTGTCTTCTCCTCAGACTCAAAGGCGTAGTGAATGGCAAACATACATGCGACGATGTCAAAGCCTCCACCGCCATAGCGAGAGGCCATGATCGATCCACCGGGCCCGGCATTAGCATCGATACCAACCCGCTGGATGATGTCGATATCGCCCAGCCACTCACCAAAGCAATCTTTCGGATAGAACTCGGCATGGAAAATTGGCTGCGGTGGTCGTCGGCCTCGCTGGCCGCGGCCCGAGCGCATTTGATCGTACCGGCCCCGCGCTTGCTCAATTGAAACATTGGCAGGATCAAGACCGACATAGAGGTCAACTGGCTGAGGCGCCAGCTGCCACTTGCCTAAATCGCCACCCTTACCACAGCCCAGATCCAGTACGAGAAGCTTTTGATTATCAACAGGCGGCGGCCCTTGGCTGTCATTCGCCCAGTCCTTGCTGTCCTCAAATCGCGCGACAAATGTCTCATCCGGGGAGAACTTCTGGATAAGAGTACTCTTCACCCAGTTGTTGAAGCTGCGTAGCCCCTTGATCTTGCTCTCTGTCTTCCGCCACTCACGGCCTCTCTCCGGAACCGCGTTGTAGTGTTGTCGAACCACGTCCGAGATACCGCGCTGCTGAGAGTTGCGCATAGCCTCATCCACTTCTGCGCGCTCACGTTCCTCCTGTTTGCGTCGTAGTGTTTCACGGTCTAAGAGGCCCTGTCGTGCTCCGCCGCCCGGTCTCTTCCGTTGACGCGGTGCATCGGGGGAGGGAGAGCGACGTGGCTGTAGTGGCGATCGAGAGCGTCGGTCTTCGCGTGGTGGAGCGCCGCCTGGGCTGCGAGAGCGGTTGCGTCGCGAGAATACTGACGGCGGAGTTCGGCCCCGTTTCCGGAGGGCTTGATGTCTCTCCTGGAGTCTTTTGCGCTTGGATGCTGCGCTTGATACATGATTCGATCCGTCTGCCGCAGTGTCTCCTTCGATGCTCCTGTGTCTGCCGGTATCTGTTGAAGGGTATGTGGTATTCGTGCGGGCAGGCGAGCGAGGCGTGGACCGCCCACGAGCTGCATCACGAGCTCTATCTCCATTGGGATGATCCATGCTGACGTGAGTAGAGTTGTGAACTGTTTCAGAAGTGATTCGGGAGAACAATGGTCGCGGGATCTGTGGAGGAAAAGAAGGAAAGGTGTATGCCGCACTTAGGATAAGCCTAAATGAAATATATAATTTTAGGTTGATTTCACAGAAATGTCGCCTGCGGAGTTGTGAAAGTCAGAGTTATATCAGAGTAATGGCCAGCTGGAGGTCCAGAGAAAGTCCAAAGAGCTCCGGATCTCGGCCAATCAGAGAGTTCTAAACCAACCCTAATTCCCATTCATCTATCTACAATCTTTCAATGGATTCTTAGATTATGATGTCTAGAAATGAATGAGATAGATGTATTTTTTTATTTTCTTTGTGTTTTTTTTTTATTTTTTTTTTAATTTTTTTTTTTTTTAAAAAAAAAAAAAAAAAAAAACACAAGCCGCTGAAAGACACACTTTGACCCTCTTCATAAAACCCGCGCTCCCAATTAATGTAATATTAAATAGAAATAAAGATACGAATGCAAGATCATTGAGGCAAGACAGCTTTCCGTTTTGGTGACTTAGCCGTCAAAACCTGTCTTACTCGTCGAATTTTCGCCCACCATTCGCGGTCCGCTTTCTTTTTCGCATCCGCATTTTCTTCTTGGCCTGCAGTCTCGGTTGGTGTGCATAGGTCGGTCCGCAATGTATCAGTGGAGGCCATGGTACGAACTCTGCGGCGGTGTTTGACCTTTACGGCCTCCGCGACGATCTGCCACCCAGCACGTAGTTCTTCCAACCTCTCGTTGGGTCGCCCAGTGCCACTTTGGGCTACCTTGTCGATCCAGGGACAATACTCCATATGCTCATCGGCCACATTGAGGGAAGTGTAGACGGTGACGTCTCCATTATCTTTGGGTTTGTACATCCATAATCCCAGGCGACGGAAACACGCTCCACATCCGACTAATCCCGCAGCTCCATCGGAGGCAGTATCCCAGCCGAGCAATGCTAACGCCAGGGCAGCTCGATTGACAGCTTTGGATGTTTCTGTTGAGTCTTGGTTGTCAATGTCTGTAGGCCGAATCTCTCCGTTCATGGATACCGCAGCTTTCTCGGTCTCTTTAAACCATTCGTCCGGAAGTCCTTTGATAAGCACATCAAGGTCAAGGCCTTCTGGAGTCTGAATGATATCATCAGCTGGTAATTTATCGCCCATTTCCAAGATGTTTGTATATCGCATGTGAAGGCCCGACAGGGCAGTATCACAATTGGTCAAAGGGAGATGTTGGATAGTGGCTAATCTGATGTTAGTCATAGGACAAAATGTTCTCAGTCTTATTTGAACTCACAATCACAGCTCTTGTTTCGCCAGGGACAGTTTTCGCCGTGAGCATTACTTAGCATTTTTGCATACTCATCCACCAGCCTCGCACCTGTAGGCATATAGGTTAGTATAAAACCTCAATCAGCTAGATCAGAGATCTGTTGTATTACTCACGGACTTCCTTCCGCTCCTCCACCTTTTCAATGTTGAAACCGTCGAGCTCATCGATTTCATCGGGGAGCTTCACAACGACTGCGCCGCCGCAATCACTCACGCAGGTGACGCGCATGACGTCTGTACAGATCCAACCACGCTTCGCCCATTGCACTTCATTGATCGGAGACGGCTTTGACGTCCATCGGTCGACACGGCGGAAGGTCTCTAACCGCTCGAGAAAACGTTCGCGGTCCCAAGGGACAAAGGTTGGGCGCTTATTCGAAGTTGCGGAGGCTATTCGGTGCCCTGGTCGCGATATCTTGTGGATTGAGTTGCGCACCGCTGTGAGCTCCGAACGGTCGGCGCTGGCCAAGCGTACTTTCTTGATCGATAAGTTGGCGGAGAGACGGTCTTGCGCCGTCGCAGGCGCCGTAGGGGCTGGTTTAGGCGCGTTGTCGGACGTAAGAGGTTTGGATATTGATTCGAGAACACGGTGGAACTTCCGCTTCTTTGATTCTAGAGCGTAGGACATATTGGTGCTGGGCTGAGAAGCAAGTCAAGTGGTGCAGATCAACACAACGCGGAGAGGGTTGGAGCTGCGGCGATCATAACGCCCGAATGTGTATCAGCCTGAGGCACCAACATCGATATTAGGCCCGTACATCGATACTCAGCGGTCAATTCTAAATCGAACGGTATGGATGTCAGTATTCTCTCAATTAGAAATTTAATTCTACTGTCAACTGTTGTACACTGTTGACAGTGCTATTCCACTCCGACAAATGCTCCACTGCTGATTGGCTAAGGCATTCCGTGACATCGTACAATCCTCCGAACTTCACCAACTTTCTTCCTTCACTCATCTGCCTTGACCATGGCTTCTCTGAGGAGCTCTCTGTCGCTATGGCGGAGTGGTGCGCCTCGTTTGGCCAAAGACTTTTTCACATCCCAATGCCTCCCAAGTCAGGGCTACGCAGCCAAATCAATCCGCCAATTCGGTGCCCTCCAGTTCCGTCAACCCAGCAAGATTCAATCGACCCTTCTGAACAATAAGAAATTCTTCACCTCCAGTATCAAGCGTTCAAATGCCGCACCGGCCATTGCAGAGGCGGTGGAAGAAGGCACAACGAAAGGCAAATCGAGCTTCCCCAAAATTAGCGACAAGACCGTTGCCTACTGGCTACTAGGCAGCGCGGCCAGTGTTTTTGGAATTGTGGTCTTCGGTGGTTTGACACGGTTGACAGAATCTGGGTAGGTGGACCGAGGTGCTTGTTTTCCACGAAAAGTGAGCTTCGAATGCTGACGGAACATATTCTGGCACAGATTGAGTATCACCGAATGGCGACCTGTTACTGGCTCCCTCCCTCCAATGAATGCGGAACATTGGGAGGACGAATTCTCAAAATACCGCGCCTCTCCCGAGTTTCAATTGCTTAACCCGAACATGACTCTATCCGAGTTCAAGTCGATCTACTATATGGAATGGATTCACCGGCTCTGGGGCCGGTTTGTTGGAATCTCATTTGTGCTACCCGCAGTCTATTTTGTCGCTCGAAAGAAGGTCTCCACGCCCATGGCGTGGCGCATCTTTGGAATTGCTGGTCTTATTGGTTTCCAGGGATTCCTTGGCTGGTGGATGGTAAAATCTGGCTTGAAGGATGATCTCTTTGCTCCGGGCAGTCACCCGCGAGTGAGCCAATATCGTCTGACTGCTCACTTGGGTGCTGCTTTCGTTTGCTACACCGCGATGTTGTGGAATGGTCTCGCTATTCTGCGGTCTAATCGGTTGATGGCTGACCCGGCTGCTGGAGTCAACCAACTTAATGCGCTGCGCGACCCGAAGCTGGCCTTCTTCCGCCGCTCAGTCGCTGGTATTGCTCTCTTGGTCTTCATAACTGTTATTTCAGGCGGTCTCGTCGCCGGTCTTGATGCTGGGCTTATCTATAACGAATTCCCATGGATGGGCCAAGGACTAGCACCTCCAAAGGAGGAGCTGTTCGATGCCCGCTACTCCCGCCACGAGGACCGCTCCGATCTTTGGTGGCGCAACATGCTTGAGAATCCTTCTCTTGTTCAGCTTGACCACCGCGTCCTCGCAGTGACCACCTTCACCGTCATTTGTGCCTTGATGGCTTACACCCGCGGCTCCCCCACCATGAAGCGCTTCCTACCGGCACCTGCTAGAAAGGGTGTCCACGGCGTGTTTGCGTTTGCGTGTTGTCAAGTTGGACTCGGTATTAGTACTCTTCTCTACCTCGTGCCCACTCCGCTTGCCTCCGCCCACCAGGCTGGAAGCTTGTTCCTCCTGACCTGGGTCATAATCTTGGGCAGCCGAGTCTGGCATCCTTCACGTACAGCCAAGCTCTTGCAGATGGCTGCGAAAGCTCGCTCCCAGCAGCTCTCTAAAACTGCTGCCTCTGCTGTAAAGAGAGTCTAATAATCCTGCCTCTCGAGTGTATGAATATGTCGACCAGGGTTGATTGTGTTCATCGATTGCCTTGGTAATTGATACCATCTCCATTCCTCTGTTGACTCGAGCGATTCTCGAGTCTTATTGTATAACTAGAACTACTGCTTTCATTGTAAAAAACATGTTTTGAACTAAATCAAAGTTTATTGGTTGATCTACCTAAGTCCGAAATTGATATCCCCTTTTTGGTTTTTTTGTTCCCTTTTTTCTCTTCTTCTTCTTCTTTCTTGCACTTTTTACTTCTTCGTCCTCATCTTTCATGTCTTCACAATTGCGTTTCACATTTTCTTACTCTCGGGTTTCAGGTCTCAGTGATACTTCATTCCTCTTGCCAGGCACTTACTCCGCCAACTTCGTAGCAGGTCTCGCAGCGCGCGCAGGGTTGCGGCGTGCTATGATGTATCCAACAGGCAGACCGTCCTCACCAATAGGAATATCAGACTCATCGTGGGGCCACTCATCTCCCACAACCGACATGGTCATATCAGAATCAGTGGATAAAGTATCGACCTGCGGCTCCAAGACCTGGCCACGTGCAGGAGCCATTTTCTGTCCACCTGTATTACTTTGCACATCGCTGGTGGCACTAGGAGTTCCGTTACCAAAAGATCCGAGATCCAGCAGGGTTTTCGCAGCCCTCACATCGGCAGACTCGGAGGATAGGCGGTCTTGAGTCCCATCTAGGGATGGCAAAGATAGCGGCATATCGCCACCCCCCTCGGGGACATGAATAGCTCCAAAGGAAGCGTGTGTATGATCTCCGTTTCGGTCGGCCAGACACTTGCGGCAAACTTGCCAGCCGCAGTTCTGGCAGCGTGACATGCCGTTCTTGTTGCGCTTGTTGCATACGTCGCACTTTGCGGTGTGGGCTGCTACTTCTGAGAAGTTAACGCCGACTCGCCGTCTCTGGGATCGGTGGTTTGCGGCTGCATCGCGGCTCGCCATTTGGCGGCCGTTCGGTGGCACCCGGTTTGTTGAGACCGCTCGAATCGGGTTGGAAGAGATCTTCTTCGGGGTTGATGACACCTGTGTGCTTGGAAATCGTGGATCGCGGAGTGTCGTCTGCGCGGAGTTAAGAGTCGACTGTGTGGGCGCTGTTGATGCCTGAACTGGCTGGGCTTCCTTCAGCCGTAGAGGGATTGGAGGGGCGATATGGTTCTCTATAAGATGGGCTTGTAAGGGCTGAGATGCTGGTTTTTGCTTCTTGTCTTTCTTACCTTTGCCCACGTTCACATTGGGTTGGAACCCCACGGTAGAGACCTATTAGAAAGTTAGCTATATTTGATACCCTCTATTTTTTTAACCATCATTCTGCACGTACGTCTTGGTAGGTAAATCCGGGCTCTCGAAACGCCTAACACAATTTTAGAATGATATCTCAGGGAAAAGACGGATGGAACAAACATTCCGGCTGGGGTCAGGCGGGACAAGCCATCCATTAGCTGGATAGGGTGGGTACGGGTTGGGAATGGTATTGATCTTTTGTGGTGAAGACGAGGAACTATTGCCTGTTCCATCGTACATGTTGTCAGAAAGATGCAAGCTCGGCTGGTTGCGCTTGTTGGCTTCGACAGACTCGTCGAGCTCTCGAAAAGATGGGAGACTCAAGTCTGGGATGCGAGGGAGACGCATGGTACGATGGGGCATGATTGCAACAGAGGTGTGCTCGATGGTACTTGATGATATTTGAAGGAAGAGTTCCTTTGAGCAAGAATGAAAAAGGAAGAGGATGGGGATGTACGAAATGAAAATGGAAAATGGATGTGGTGTAGATAAAAGGCTTGGGGTTGATGAAGGTTCTCAGATGCAAGTTGTACTGGGCATTGTTATATACAGACTCATGGGATCGGATGACGCCTGGTGGTTTGTGGAGAGCGCTTTAGGACAGGCAAACAGATCGAAACCTTCGAAAATACAACACACAACACAGTTCTACTCGATTAAATTCAGCAGCTGATCAACCTCTCGTCAATCTCATTATCTATCTTGAATCAAGTACAAAGGAAGAGGTTTGTTTCGAAATTGGCTGTATCGCCGAGATATTCTTGAGAACCCATTTTATCTGCTGCGTTTATCATAAAACAGAGAATTGCATGCAGCCCCCAAGACGCATCGCACATCAATAGCATCAACATCTTCTCGGGCAATCACGTCATTTTAATCATTTGTGGGCTGTATATTCATCGTCAGTGATATCGGCTCGTGGAAATTTGCTGATATTAATAACATACGGATTCCTTCTTCGGGGCTAGGCTCGATACCGACGACTTCGGCAGCAGTCTTGGGGTCGGCAGCAGTCTTATCGTCTTTCATCATGGGGAAGGTCAACACTTCCTTGATGCTGTAGTTGTCGGTAAGGAACATGACGATGCGGTCAATACCCAGACCCCAACCAGCAGTCGGGGGCAGACCGTACTCGAGGGATTGGCAGAAAGTCTCATCAATCATCTGAGCTTCGTCGTCACCTTGATCCTTCTGATTGGCCTGCTCCTCGAAGCGCATACGCTGGTCGAAGGGATCGTTCAACTCCGTGTAAGCGTTGATGATTTCCTTGGTGCTGTAATTTGGTTAGCTAAAATTCCGCGAAGACTGATAGGCCAATTATAGGCAGAGCGAATTTGGAAAGAACGGGGGGTTTTCAAGCAACTAGAAGTTGGGTGAGAACTTACCAAACGAAGGCCTCGAAACGCTCGCAAAGACCGGCCATTTGACGGTGCTTCTTAGCTAGTGGCGACATCATCTGGGGGTGACCGGTGATAAAAGTGGGGTTAATGCAAGTGTTCTCGATGAACTCGCCAACTAGCTTGTCGAGCATGCGGGCATTGGTCTGAGGAGCCGAGCAATCCACGTTCATCTTCTTGAGGACGCGCTTAAGGAATTCGTTGGTCTCCTGAGTGTGAAGCTGGTCACTAGGGGGGAACTTCTCGCCGCAAGCCTCCTCGAGAGCAGGCATCATCTCCACCCGCCTCCAGGGAGCCTTCCAGTTCACATTGTAAGTTTCGCCAGACTGAGTGTGGAATACGGTCTCGTAACCACCAGTAACGTGCTTAACCAGATTCGAGACGAGATCCTCAGTCAAGTCCATCAGGTCGTACACATCCGCGTAAGCTTGGTAGAATTCGCAGGTTGTGAACTCGGGGTTGTGAGTCAGGTCAATTCCCTCATTTCGGAACACGCGGGACAATTCGAACACACGCTCGAGCCCTCCAACAACCAGCATCTTGAGGTAGAGCTCGGGGGCGACACGCATGAAGAGGTCCATGTCGAGGTCATTATGGTGGGTAACGAAGGGCTTGGCTGTAGCACCACCAGCAATGGCATTCATCATAGGAGTCTCAACCTCAATGAAATCAAGGTTTTCAAAGTACTGGCGGATGTAGGAAACAATCTTAGATCGTTTACGAAGGATATCACGTGACCGGTCGTTCATGATGAGATCTAGGTAGCGCTGGCGGAAACGCTGCTCTTTATCCTGGAAGCCGTAGTGCTCCGAAGGAATCGCATGCAAGCAAGGGGCCAGAAGAATAACCTCAGTGGCGAAGATAGAAAGTTCACCATCGTCACGGTTCTTGGGGTTGGTCCGACCAGGGAAACCCACAATGCCCACAATATCACCTCTGCGAAGTAGCTCGTGCTGCTCTTCGAAGGGCTTTCCGGTCGAGAATTGTGCCTGGCACATTACCTGGATCTTAACACCCTCTGAGCGGATGTCATAAAAGTTCAGCTTGTTGCCGGAGGTACGCTTGGTATAGATACGGCCAGCAACGCGGACGGTAACATCGGGCTTCTGTTCGCCCTTCTGGAGACCCTCATAATCCTTAACGAATTTGCGGAGATCGGTATCGACGTGGAATTTGTGTGGGTAGGGATCCGGCTGCTTAGTTTCGCGCAGCTTGTTGATCCTCTTGCTACGAATCTCGAAGTATTGCTAGAACGACACATTAATTAGCGTCGCAGGACCTAGGAATCGACCCAGGAGTAAGATCACTAACGTTAGGAGTCAAGTTGGCCTCGTCATCCTCGGCAGACGATTTCTTCTCGGCCTTGGGCTTAGGGGGAGCAGCTGCCTCCTTCTCCTTCTTCTTGGCGTCCTTCTCACGCTGCTTCTGGCGTCTCTTCAATTCAGTTTTGGAGACTTTCTCGCCGGTGACATCATCGAGAAGAAGGTTGGCAATGGAGGCAGTGGCCTCTTGAACAGGATTGGAATCCGCCATAATGTGTGGTTACAGAGAACAAGAAAGTGGGATGGTGGGATGGTGGGATAAGACCTGAATTTTTGGGCGGGGATCGGCACGGCATGTGATTGGACGATTTCCTATAACTCTGGGGTTCTTTCGACCTTCGTGACTCACTTAGATTGACTCATTCCTGGATTGGCGCCGAGATATCTATGTAAATAAGAGCTTTATTTGAAAATAAAAATTATGTTTTATCTGCGGGAATCCTACTTCACTTTCTCCGTTGTCAAGCATTTCACGGATACTAAATTGGGATGTAGGGCTTAGGGCACTGGAGGTATCTAAAATAGACCTTCTCCAAGCATTGCAATTCCTCCTCAAACAGAGCTATGGAAGCCTGGAAGCCTGGAAGCTATGCTAACACAATAGGGATAGCCTGACTACAACTTTGAGCAGTCGCTACAGCCTTGTTCCTAGGCAGTGCCACTACACGTGCCTGCTTTAAAGTGGCTCGCTCCTCGCAATGACTGTTTTTTTGACTGGATAGAGTGCTATAGATCGTCCGCTATCTGAACTTTGATATTTTGGTTTATCAGGCATTAGTTCTGCAATCTGGGCTAGCTTAGCTTACTCAATAGCCAAATGTACAGTTCAACATTGAAGTACAACGCCATAGTATAGTAAGAAGGGACATAGCGCATAGCGCACAGCAAGATGGTAGGGTAGATGCTTTAAACCAGTAACAAAATTAAGTCACTTTTATCACATCAACTTCATCATCGTCAACAACTACTGCAACAACTGATCCAACAACTGCTTCAAAACTGCTCTATCATTATAGAGGGATTAAAATATCTAGTTTTAATTTAAATTGTTTCATGTTCATGCATGACAGAGAGAGCTATGGTTCAAAGACTCTAACAGTCAATTTAAGACCGCGATTATAATCCACGTTCGTGGTCGAGACCCGACCTGATGGCAGCATGGACCTTCGGTTCCCAACATAAAAGATTGAAATTGAACGGAACCCAGGCCCAAACTCTCCCAGAGTTAAGGGACAGTCAACGTTACCATTCCACGACATCTTTCTTCGCGATAAAAAGGGCAGGGAGGCTGGTTTTGTTCTCACTGAAAGCGATATGGAAGAGATTGCGGAGAAGGTATGGGCAGTCTAGGACGTCGAGGAGTAAGAGAAGGATGGTGAATGGGCCGGTTAGCTGAAGCGTTAGGGTGGCCACTACGCAGTGTCGACTATCTTCCATCTCTTCTTTTGCCCGTCGTATAAGCGAGAACCTCTTGCATCCCATATTTTTTTCTATCATTGGTCATTTTCTGGTTATCCCAATCAATTTGCTTGCTTTTCTTTATACTATCCTTGTCTCCCTTTCATTTAAATACGCCTACCCTTCTCTTCATCATCTTCTTCTATTCACCCATCTCCTCGACCTCGGCCTCGATTCTGATTTCTCATCCTATCTGCTGATGGCAGTTGATTTCTGTCTGCAGACTTCGCTTTTTGGCTATCTGTTTCTCCCTGATACGCCTCATCATCTGCAGTAGCTTTCACTTTTCGGCCAACTTGGTCTTGAGAATCACGCTTAACTCTAATCTGTGTCCATCTGTGCTTTTTGTATGTCTCACCTTGCCGTACTACTAGTGACACTAGGCATCACTTCCTGACTCTTATTAATGATCTTATGGCTAACCATAACTCCTCCAGATTTAATCACAATGTCAGGCTTGTATGATCGAGTTCCGAAGTCGGAACCCAGCCTAGCCATGTGTGAGTCTGATTACTCTTAGTAGAGAAGGTCTTCTCGCTGACTAGCCTCTTCATACCTCTAGCCGGCTTAGCTGTTCCGATTCCAGTGTCTCATGGACTATCTGATGTTCCTTCTGCCCATCCAATCCCCGCCTCCTCTCTCGATAATCTTACCATGGACATGAAAAATCTGGTCAGAAAAATTCAAGACCTCAGTCACTTGGGGATTGAGGACAGCAAGATTATGCTTCCGAAAATATGTGTCGTCGGTGACCAAAGCACCGGGAAAAGCTCCCTCATCGAGGGTATTTCCGAGATCAAGGTGCCTAGAGCCGAAGGCACCTGCACGCGGTGCCCGTTAGAGATCAATCTTTCCGAAAGCGACGACAACTGGAAATGCGTGATTCACCTATCACGCCGCTACATCTTTGATCCATCGAAGCGGATGAAGATGCCCAAGAAGTCAGAGCCACTAGGACCATGGATTGCGCTTGGCGGCCAAGACGATGAACATTTCATCACCTTGGATAACAAGCAGGAAGTTAAGAAGGCTATCTGGTGCGCCCAGTTAGCTATCTTGAACCCTAGTACAGATTCGCAGGATTTTCTTCCCGGATCTACCGACATGGCACAGACACCTCAGGTTAAGTTCTCTCCGAATGCCGTGCGCCTGGATATATCTGGTCCTGGTCTTCCAAATCTATCGTTCTACGATCTTCCTGGAGTGATTAGCCAGACAGAACAAGATAATGAACGATACCTGGTCAATCTGGTGGAAAACCTTGTCAAAGATTATGTTTCTCAGGAGCATTGCATTGTACTCCTCACCCTGCCCATGACAGACGATGCGACAAATTCCAGCGCTGCTCGTCTCGTCAGGGACATCAAGGGCGCGAAAGAGCGCACCCTTGGGGTGTTGACGAAGCCGGATCGCCGGCCCTCCGACGAAGCATTTGACCAATGGCATGAGATTCTGGATGGAAGCAAGTTCAAGCTTGGCCACGGTTATTATGTCATTCGAAACAATCCTGATCCACTTGTCAGTCACGCCCAAGCTAGGAAGGAGGAAGAGATGTTCTTTGATTCTTCACTGTGGACACGGGACCTCGCCGCATTCGAAGATCGCTTTGGCACGAGACAACTCCAAACGGCATTGTCTGACCTCTTGATGCGTCAGATCTTAGGATCTTTGCCCTCCATCATTGCCCAGATTGATGAGAAGTCCAAGGCAATTGATGAAGAACTGCAAACCCTTCCAAATCCTCCCACTGAGGATGTCCAAAGAATCCTTTGGGGGAAAACTTCAGACCTTGAAAGAAAAATTCATGAACTGTTCGATGGGACCCCCAGCATCGAGCACGGTTCTTCCCAGCGAAAGCCGCTGCAAGAGCAGTGGAACAAGATTGTTATGGACCTTCAAACCGCACTTGCGAAGACACGCCCCATCTTGGATGTTGCTGCGCAGAAGGACCATGAGGACTTGGCTGAAGTTGTTGACTCGGATTGTGAGTTACAAATTTTGAGCGTTAGCACAACAACGCCAAAGAAACGAAAGTCGCCTGCGAGTTGTACCCCTGCATCGGAACCAGCAACTCCGAGAAGGACTGTGTACAGCACATCCCACTTCGAGGGGTCGAAGTCTGCCAGAATCAGTCTACAGCAGCTCACCGAACTCAAGATTCGCTCTAACACAGTTGGTGTACCGAACCAGCTTGATCCCCGAGCGATCGAGAATTTGAACAAGAGGAGCGTTGAGCATTGGGGAAGACTCATGGAGATTTTCCTCAAGGCTACGCATAATCTTGTCCACAGTATGCTTCTTGAAGCTCTGGAGGAAGAATTTGCACAATATCATCAAACTGGGCTGTATCAGGAACTTAGCAGATTTCTGAAAGAGTTCATGGGCAAGCTGCGCCAGGCCCATCTTCAAATTGCTAAGGATTATTGCAAGTCCGAGCGTGAGATACCGTTCACAATGGCCCAAGGTCAGCATCAACTCTTGATGCAACAGACTTCGAACGTCCTGAAAGCTCGTCGATTCAATACTCGCGCAACTTGCTGGCTGAAAATTCGTGGCCATGATAACGATGACAAGATTTCGGAGAAGGTGAAGAGGATCCAATTAGAGCAACTTGGTCCTGATAGATACTCCCAAGAACTTGAAATGATGGCCGTAAGTCTTCTAGGGAGATTTGCTGACATTCACTAATTGCGGTCATAGAGCTCGCTTGCATACTACGATATCGCATCTTCTCGTTTCCTGGACGTGTTGTGCCAGTCTACTCACATGAAGTTGTTCCGGGCTTGCCGTGCAAGTCTCGTTAGTACTCTTCGTGATGACCTTGAAATATTTGGCGACAACGGTGAGCATGCACATTATATGTTTCAAGTATGAGATTAAAAAATGTTTCTAATACGTAACTTAGGTCGCGCCCGCTGCCTTGACCTCATGACGGAGGACCCTGAGCGCCAGCATCGCCGTGCTCAGTTACTGAAAGAGCGGGAGAAGTTTTCGAAAGCTCAGGAATGGTTGGACTCTGTCCGAGATTCGGATGTCGAGATGGAAGACGACCAAACTGCTGTTCCAGACATCAAAGAGGACTGGTGATTCCTCAAATTGTCGTTTCCTGTGGTCTCCATGATTTTGCCATTTACACTGGTATTGAATGGGCCAAATATTGGCTTGAGGGGAAGTGTTTTCGGGGAGTTCCTGTGAGCTTCAATACTGTTTCAAATGTGATGGATGGGATGGAGATATGAATCAAATGGAGGAATGGAAAGATGTCAACAAGGACTCCTGAAAATCGTGTTTGTTAGGCCGAGATGATCGCGAATATACTTGTTCATACCTTTCCCGAATTTGATACCAAACATTTCGGGGATCTTGGAAGGATTGTAAGATTTTGAGCAAGGTGTAAGCATTCGTCACTACGCTCGAGTTTGGTAGGCTTTGGAGATAATTCCATTGGCCGTCGAATCCCTAGTTCTTGGTGGCCTATAACAAGCTTTTGAGAAGATGCGAGTAGTATACAAAGGTGCACTGATATCATGCCCTCAGTCTTCTTGTGTCTGGAGAAATGAAGGCGGTAAGAGTGTATCGTACCGCCTTTTTGAAAGGGGAAAGGGCACCCAACGATCCCAACTGCTCATTTGCCTCGAGCCAATCAGCCCTTTTTTCATACCAGTCAAAACGCAATCAGGTGTCTTCGCCTACATCGGGTGCTCTATTACATCTACCAAGACCCGCGATGACACGTCGGGCAGCAACCCTGCCACTGCTCAGAGGCAACACCACATTGGAGTCAGCGCTGGAGCAAGAGGAGGATGTTTTTCTTGACTTAGATTACCCAGAACAGCGCATTGATTTCTTCGTGTTACTGTACAGCAATCGTGATGATATTGAGCGTATTGCCTCATATCATCTCGGTCTAGGTCCTTCGGATACTTGCAGGACTGGCGATGTAAAGGAATGGGCCCATGGCAGCTTCAATGTTTGCATTCTGCTCTATGTCAGTAAACAAGGTCAATATCTAGGAAAGCATGCTCTCATTAGGTTTCCTTTGCCCTACAAAATAGGAGAACTCAACACCCCCGACAATGTGGACGAGAAACTGCGCTGTGAAGCTGCAACTTTTATTTGGATACATACGCATTGTCCGGAAATATCCATTCCTCGACTGTGGGGGTTTGGACTTGTTGGAGGTCAAAGTGTACGGGACCTCAATGGATATTGGCTAATAGTATTACATGGCTTCTAACATATCTTTACATAGTTTACAAAACCGGAGAATATCTCTCTCGGAACTAGACTTCTCTGGACTCTGAAAAGATCTATCATACGGCTTTTAGGGTTCTCTCTACCCTGTCCCTATATATCTCATCAACGTCAGACATTACTCGAAACTGGGTACTTGGTGATTGACTACATTGGCAACTCGGAAGTTCAAATACTTTCAGAGACATGGGATAAAGACTGTCATGAGCAAGTCATAAGAACAAATCTTTTTCGCGGGCTTTCACGGATGATGCTTTCTTTAAGTCAGATACCACTCCCCCGCATAGGATCATAGACCCTCGACTGCAATGGAGTTTTGCAACTTTCCAACCGACCTCTCACTCTTCGACTCCATCAATTAGAAAACGGGGGAATTCCGACCAACATCAGTCGAAGCCTGACCTACTCAGCAGCGGATGCATACTACCTCGATCTTTTGTCTTGTCATAATAATCGCATACAGTATCAGCCAAACTCTATAAGCGATGCGGATGATGGCCGGGTACAGATAGCAAGATTGACGATAATGAAAGCGCTCCTACCTCATTTTTCTAACAAAGCGCTTCGAGAAGGGCCCTTCCTTTACAGACTCACTGATCTCCATCCTAGCAACATATTTGTCGATAGCGATTGGAATGTCAAGTTTGTGATTGATCTCGAATAGGCATGCTCACTGCCAGCGGAGACGTTGCGTCCTCCGTACTGGTTGACCGGTTGTTCAGTCGATGAACTAACAGGCGGGCATCTTGAAACCTTTAGTGAGGCCTACGAAGAGTTTGTGGGTATTTTTGAGGAGGAAGAACAACAGTTTTCCCCTATCAACAATGACCATTCTTATAGGACAAATCTTATGAGAAATGGTTGGCAAGTCGGAAACTTTTGATATTTCCATGCATTGGACAGCCCGAAAGGTCTATTCAACCTCTTTTCTCAGCATATTTACCCCCTTTTTGCACCTTCTAGTCAGTCAAAGGACGATTTTGCACGGGTTGTATCGGACTTCTGGGCTCCCGATGTTGAAAAGGTGTTAGCTGCCAAGCTTCGGGACAAGGAGGAATATGAAAAGACGCTTCGCCAAAGGTTCGAGGATGCTGTTATTAACGAGAAGGATCGGGATTCAGAGCATTAAGAGGAGTTTCGGTGTTTCTAACTTGGCAAAACTCATGTATCAGAAGACCTTTGGGAGTTCGACTATTACGCTGGAGTTTGATGAGAAAAAGAATGTTATATAATCTATGCTCAAACACGAATTAGGGTGAATATGCGACCTCCGATTGAATAACTACCCTTGGCCAAGCCCTAACTGTCCTCGGTCAGGTTGTATAGGAACTGCGAAGGGCACGTCATTGAAAGGTTCTCAGATTCCACTACTCCCCAACTGTCGAGATGGTCAGAGATTGTCAATAAAATAGCCCTCTACAACGGGTAGTCTACGTATATCAAGACATGTAGCAAGGTAAAACCGTTGAAAAATAACGTAAATGTTATAAAACAGCGAAGCATTCCAGTGTGCAAGGCCGGAAAGAGTAAAATGTTGTCAGGTGCCCCACCGAAAGCGTCGTCTTGGCGTTTTTGGGGAGCTTCGGGGTCTGTCTGGCCTTTTGGATTCTTATGATTCTAGACTTAACATCTCTTTGCATACCGTTATGCTTCATATACCAATGCGTGAAAATCACAATAACCAGGCTTCCACTAAGGCTGTGATCTTGGTGAGTGACGAAATCATCGCAATAAACAATAACTGACACCTTGTCCACAGGTCGGAGGCCCCTCAAGAGGCACTCGGTTCCGCCCATTGTCGCTCGATGTGCCGAAGGTATGCATCTACCTCTGATTTGATCGTTCATTGGAATTTGCGCCGGACAAAATTGACACCGCAATCCCCATAGCCCCTATTCGAAGTCGCTGGCCACCCCATCATCCACCACTGCCTGAAGGCGGTGGCTAAGGTCCCCGATGTACGCGAAGTGATGTTGGTCGGATACTACGATGAGAGCGTATTCCGGGATTTTATCAAAGATGCCTCGAAGGAATTCCCCCAGCTCCGCATCTCCTACCTGCGAGAGTACACGGCGTTGGGAACCGCAGGTGGGCTGTACCACTTCCGTGATGCAATCCTCAAGGGCAAGCCCGAGCGGCTGCTCGTGCTGAACGCCGATGTCTGCTGCTCATTCCCGCTGGGCGAGATGATGCGCCTCTTTGAGGAGAAGGACGCCGAGGCTGTGATCCTAGGTACACGAGTTTCGAACGACACTGCGACGAACTTTGGATGCATCGTGTCCGATTCCCACACCAAACGTGTGCTGCACTATGTCGAGAAGCCCGAGTCGCACATCTCCAATCTGATCAACTGCGGTGTTTACCTTTTCGCTACCGAGTGCATCTTCCCCGCCATTCGCAGCGCCATCAAGCGTCGCACCACCCGCCCCCGCCTGCTCTCGTACCCCTCCTCCGACAATCTGGAATCCTCCTTCATAGCCGCCGGGGACGACGAGGACGCCGAGAAGAGCGAGGTCCTCCGTCTGGAGCAAGACATCCTCTCTGATCTGGCCGATAGCAACCGCTTCTTTGTCCACGAAACCAAGGACTTCTGGCGCCAGATCAAGTCCGCCGGGTCTGCAGTTCCTGCCAACGCCCTATACCTCCAAAAGGCATTCCAGGCCGAGTCTCCTGAACTCACTCCCCCTTCTGCCAACATCGTGCCGCCGGTCTACATCCACCCCACTGCCACCGTCGACCCCACCGCTAAGCTCGGACCTAATGTCTCGATCGGCCCGCGTGTCGTAGTCGGCGCCGGTGTCCGTATCAAGGACTCGATCGTTCTTGAGGACTCCGAGATCCGCCACGACGCCTGCGTCATGCACTCGATCATCGGCTGGAGTAGCCGTGTCGGTGCCTGGGCTCGCGTGGAGGGCACACCCATTCCCGTGGCCAGCCACTCAACCAGCATTGTCAAGCAGGGTATCAAGGTGCAGAGTATCACCATTCTTGGCAAGGAGTGCGGTGTTGGTGATGAGGTCCGCGTGCAGAACTGCGTGTGTCTGCCTTACAAGGAGCTTAAGCGGGTATGTGTTATCTCTTGTTTTTTCCATATGCCATTGACTAACGTTTCCTGTAGGATGTGTCCAACGAGGTCATTATGTAATATGAGTTTTGGTCATTTTTGGTTGATATTTATCGCCCTGATCTCCTCGTTGATACGGCTTCATTGTCGGGTTTGTCTCATCTCGTCTTATCTTATGGTTGGATGGTTATTTGCTTCATGAGCGTGGCCGATCTAAGGATCTTTTTGTTTTAATCTATCTAGAACGAACCCAAAATGAAAGAGTCGTTAGATTTTTTTGCATTACTATCTGGTATATGTGGGTTTCGTTTCCCTCGTATAATTGTCACATATCCCAGTAATCGAGCCTGAGCCCTCGAAACGCCATGCACCCGAAACACCTGATACAAACGTTCAGATATAACCCCCAGATGAATATCATGAAATCCCGCATGTTGACATCAAAGCAAAGAAGAAGAGAAGAAACTCCAAGTACCAAAAACCACTCAGCGATACATAGCAGGATCATACCCAGTATTCTCAGCCTGCCTCTGATGTCCATCCTGGTCATAAGAACTAAAGTGCACTCGAGGGGCGGCACGGTGATTCATCCCGGGCGCATCATGATAATAATTCTGCGCCTCACCAGCAGGCGCATGCTCCAAATTGTGCTCATAAACCGGGGGCGCTTGATCATGGCCGTGGCCATAGGCACCGTGCATCGCGGGGGGCACATTATCATAATCGTGCAAGGCAGGGGTGGATTCGCTGTGGCGGTCATCCATCTTAACGTCGAAGGCGTCCGAGTCACCAAGGCCAGGATGGGATCCCATTGGATCGTAGACGCCGAGACGGGTTTGGCGACGGCGCACTACCACATCTAGCCAGACCGCGGCGATGTAGCTGACCAGGCCGATAACAGTGAATGTGAAGAGGGCTTTGTAGCTCCGGCATACGGCGATGCCAGTCGAGTTGCCCCAGTAGGTTGTTGTGCATGATGTTGTTATGGTGCTTGCCAGGCTCCAGCTCAGGAGACCCAAGGATAGCGCCCAGAGGATTGTGAGGAGGATGTTGAGCGATATTGAGAGTTTTGTTGATAGGCCGCAGCTGCAGTGGATTATTGAGGTTAGGAAGATGTTGAGGAGGGAGAGGCCTGATGCGACGAAGAGCTAGAGGGTTTTATGTTAGCGTTTATCAATAAGATGGGTATGTTATTTAAATGGTCACTTACCACCAGGAATGAATATGGTAGTTTGTAGCCATCGGCGTGGAGGTGGTAGGTAAACACCGCCAAGATCACCCCTGTCACGATTGAGGAGAGGGAGATCAGGAAGCGGATGAGATGAAATGGCAGCGGCGGATATGCCGAGGGTTTGACTGAGGGTGATCGCATGGCGAGATGTGGAAGATGTGAAGATGAAAGAAAAGAAATCAGCCAGAGAAGCCCTACAGTCAACACCCTGATGATCGGCGCTCCACTTGACACGTTTGGGCGTGCGTCATGTCGCTATTTTTATATTTTTCATGGGCGCAGCTTGCATCTTCGTGAAATTGTTTCAAATAAGTTGCATATTGAATTCTGGACATATTGCAATAGAACGTAGGAGATCAAGTATCAATTAACTTCAATATCTTTCTTCAATAATCGAAATCCCCATCAACCACCGTTTTCCCCAGCCAATTTAGAGCCATTCGCCTCAACACAACACCCGCGCAGAGATACAAACATCTGCTAGCGCAAGGTCTAAGTGCTCGGCCTGCATTGCATCCATCGTATCATTTCCACTTTCCACCCCAGACAACTGGATGCAGTCCCACACCTGCCGATCGGCTCCATCGAGCTCCACATGGTAAACAAAGTCGTTGGTAGGGGCAACTGTGGTCACCGCTGGAAACCATCACGCATCGGCCCTTGATCATTGCTCGGGATGGACCGAAATCACCGCAGCTGGGAGATATCCAACTCTGGAAGATGTTCGAGAAGGAGCGTGATACCAATATCACCAGCCACGTAGGGGCGATGGACTTTCTGGACACAAGAAGCTTCCCCGACTTGCTCATTTACGTGAAAGAGATATCTGGTAATGGGACCATGTCGTCGGACTATGGTCTCGAATAGATCGGCGGGTTTATCGCGACCGGAGGAAGACACGATAAACGTCTGAACATAGTCATCGTTTAGGTTGGTTGGGTCGTCATCTCGCATGTGGCTATAGCCCATGAAATAGCAGTGGGCCTGTTACCATTCTACCATATAGCTTGACTCTTCGCGGGTTCTCTGGGTCGATTGCCTGCCTCGAGTCCATGTTTACTTTGTAGGCATCAGTTTGGGGTCGTATTTGCTGTCCACCTGTGTCTGAAGCCCTATAGCGATTCGGTAACTGGCGTTTAAAAGCCCACTGTGCCGCGCCATGTGGTTGACCATGGCTAGTCTTGGGAATCCAATGTACCCAGAGCAAGCAGTGGGGATTGTTGAACAAGAAGTGCAGCTCTCGGGCCCAGGTACAGCGCACTCGGATTGTCGCCGTGAGGGACTTGAAGCAAGATGACAGGGTCACCTACCTAATATATATTAGATATATCACCCCACAGCTACTTAGAACGAAGCGGTTTCCTTTTAATAATGTCAATATCCCTAGTATCTCAAGTAACTATCCCATTTCTCTTTTATTAACGTACATCGTTGCTTTACATATCAATTTGGACCCCTCAAGAGCTTGTATAGTAACGAGCCAATCAGAACTGCCGCGCCGCGTTATCGACTCTCTGCCTTCGGGGAACTTCGTTTATAAAAACAACCTACAACACCTGCACCCGGTCTCCATTTCCCTTTTACAGCTCAATCCTGTGCAACAAAAGCAAACAATCTCATAGGTGCCACAGAATACACGGGCTCTCCCCGCCCACATTCCTTTAAAAACAGCTATCCGAAAGCTTGCGAGTCTTCTATCCCCCACCATGTCGACCTACGAAAGTACGAATCCCCATCTCTCAAATGAACCTAAAATTCTAAAGCTGACATCATTCCAGTCGAACACAACACTACCGACCCCTCAACGGCCCCAACCGCGCGCCGCCGCCGCCCCGACCTCTCCACCTTCTTCTCAACCCTGTCCCAGATCACTCCAGCTCCCGACCACAGACCCCATGCAGTCCCCGTCCCAGGAGATGTGAGCGCAGCATTCTTCTCTCTCGCAGAGGCGTTGGATATGATGCGTCGCGAGGCCGATTCAGCGCCGCGCCCCGACGCGCAGGAAGGCACCGACTCAGATACCGGTCGCGATCTGCTGACCACGATGATCCAGTCGCTGCTCGCGCAGGCGGATATGCCGCCGCGGAAGGTGGAGGGTGTTGACGAGGAATTCTGTGATAGTAAGAAGCACTCCCCTAGCTCGCCGCGCCCATCAACCTCTCCCGAGATCAGCGGGGTATTCCTTTGTCCATCACATAACTAACCACTCTTGGATCTCTTTAGTGCTCGAACGCGTCCCAAAAGCATCCCTCAAAAGCTCCGATAACTGCCCTATCTGCAACAACCCCTTCGTGGAAGATCCCTACCCGCTCGTCGTCCAGCTGCCCTGCCACCCGACACACCGCTTCGATCTGGAATGTGTGCGGCCGTGGCTGCGGCTGCGCGGGACGTGTCCGCTTGACCGTGTGGACTTTGCACAGCAGCAGAGAGACAAGGCGGAGGCGAAAAAGAAGCTTGTTGAGGAGGATGAGGAGGAGGAATGGGATGGTATGTATGGCTGAAGAGATCCTACACGAGACTATGTATCTAGGTGCATCGTGAACTGTCTTCTGTAATGGAGACGAGACTACATGGCAGTATTGCCTATCTTAGCATGAGTGAATGACTGTTGCATCTGTCGATCATGTACATTTTGATCGAATGGATATTGGAAGTAAGCTGACCGGCCACCATGTTGATCGTTGTGCCTCTTCGCCCTTAATCCATATCATGACCAATTCCTCGAATCCTGGTTTAATGTGCATATTCACGAACAGTCTGTCAGGTTTTGGCTGTTAGATGTTATTTTGGAGCTGAATCGCTTTTGACAACGTATGATACTCCCGAGAAGACATAAGCCACCAAACAGATCAATAATGTAAAAATATAGTAGAGGAGGACAACAATGGTGTTTTGCTGTATGATCTATACGCCTTAGATCCGAAAATACATTGGCACCTTCATTTCGAGTCAAGATCGAGATACGCCTATCCACGAGTCCTTTGTTTCCTCGTTAGCCTTCATACTCTAACTGATAGTACTAATTAAGCCTGCTTCAAAGACCTTTGTCCTCTCTTTGATCAATTTTTTGGACAGCTTCATTCATTCCTTTGTCTATTTTTTTGACTACTTTCCTAACAATGGGCATACAACTTCATATGAAGCTGCAGTCCTCGTGGGATCTTCCCGCTGCTCACATATAAATATCAAGTCCTCAAGACCCGATTCATCTCATTTATCATTCCAGATGACATTCTCTTCAAGTCATACCATCTTCCACTGTACTCACAGACTGTGACAGGACTTCTTCTGCGGATTACCACATATTATCGGGTATTTTCTACTCCCATTCCTCCCTATGCAACTTTATCTACTTGCTTACTCTTTAAGTTACTATCACCACGTTTATGAATCTCAACCACAAATTGGCAATCCAGATACTTATCAGTGAGTATCCCAGCCTATCCAACCACCCCAATGTCTCCCCCGCTGGAGACTCTCGCGCTTGTCTTCTTTTTTCTATTACTGGGAATGACCGTCATGATAATGATGATTCTTGTCAAGGAGTGGACCGAGTACCAAGCTATGCAGTTTTGGCCGAAACTGCGTAGTACTCGCACTCTCGATCTGGAGTCGGGCCTTTATTTACTAAGGGACGTAAAGGAACTGACATGGCGCGTTGAGCAGATAGAAACTGATTTTGGTCGCAAGATGCACCTCGCTGAATACTTGTGTGAATACCATGATCAACCCCCATCTGCTTAACCGCTTTATAACTGTCAGCATACCTTCCGATAACAGACGCAAGACGCAAAGACCGAATATCTGGATGCCTCCTATGCGTAGGGATAGCGCATGAGATACTCGGCCCGAGTGGGTCACCCCAGTTCTCTACCCCATACTCCCATGTCTTTCGAGGCGGCTCACCTTGATGGATCTAGAGTGGGTAGGGTTATAGTACTCCGCAGTACGGGCGGCTTATAACTTTTTGTTGAAGCCAGATCAGTTTGAATGTGCCTATGGTGGATATATTACGTCAATATCTACCATAGGCGCTGTTATTGTTCATTTTAGTCTTGGAGCCGTCTATGAAGATAGAAAGGTGGAGGGAGGATTATAGCGACTTTCGAGTAATAGCCAACTCAATATCCGTAGTCCTGGTAAAAAGGTCGGATAAAGACAGCTGCCAAGATACTCTGCTAGACATATTTTACAATTAGTGGCTGCTTTGCTGGTCGGCGGTAGAAATCATTTGTTAAACTTGGAATGTATACCACCTTAGTCCAGTAGGGTCTATATGAATCATGAATTTTACAGAAGAAAAGAATTGTAATAGTCCAAAAGTATTTCAGATTTTCCGTCTACTCTATGTACAGTATTCGGTACAGAATTCATCACACGTAACTTCAATGCTTCATAAAATTTCCTCAGCCCGAGCCTTGGATCGGATGGCCAACTTGCCTGCCTGGTTGATCATAGCTTCATAGCCGCTTCGCTCGAGCACACCGCCATCATTATTGACAACCTCACGAGCCTCGAGTTCTTCAACAAGGCGCTGATTCTCACGGTTACCCTCCAGCAAGAACTTGAGGCACATCACAGCATGTTCTTTGATGTATGGGTTGTGGGCGTCGAAAGCGGTGCAGCAAAGAATCGCCTCCACGCCGCCGTAACGACGAATCTGCTCTTGGACATCGGGACACTTCCAGACAAGCGAGGAGAGCACAAGCACGACCAGCTTCTTGAGATTGCGCCATTCAAACTCAGAGGGATCCTCTGTGATCGGCGGGGACTCAGGTCGAGAGTCGACGCTGTCGGCGCTATTGTCGGCAGGGTCTGGGTCGCTAGGGTCGTAAGGACGTTCGACAGCAACAGGGGCTGGAGGACTAGCGTCGGAGGCATCGTTTGCGGTGTCGTTTCGGGGAGGAGGGGGAGGGGGCACGGAGCCAAAGGACAATTGGCTCAGCTGGCCCTTGGGGATGCTTGCTTCCAACTCCTTGATCAATGTCACCAAATCATAGACAATCTCCCATTTAACCAGCAGGTTCTTCCAGTCATTGTTCTCGGTCAGCACCGCGAAGAACTCTAAAAATTGGTAGACACCTTCATAGACCCGTTCCATATCCCATAGATTGAGCGGGAAGTCCTCAGAAAGAGCCCGCTCGGCGCGGATCTGGCCTTGGAGATAGATTAGAGCACAAGTCTCGGGGATGATGTTACCACGGAAGATGGTGAAGATGTATCGGACAGTGAGGATATCAACTCGGTTGAGCGAGCTCGGGTTGCGAGGGATATTAGGTTGAGCCGAGCCTGTCACAGACGCAGGAGAGTACTTGGCTCGGAAGATGTGGGTAAGTATCTTGATCACAACAGCCTGGGCCGGAGAGATGATGTCCTTAGGCTGGCCGAAATCCGAGTAGGCATGAGACATAAGGCCATTCTTAAGCACGGCCTCCATGATCTGGACCATCATCTTGAAGTAGAGCTCGTCGTCGGGAAGGTCCCATGCCGCAATGAAAATCAGTAGTTCACGGAGTAGGTTACGTCCTGTCTCCTGCGTGAGCAGAATATGACAGCGGAGCGCTTGCATGTTCCTAGATCCATTCCGTTCGCCGCCCTTGAGGCCAAAGCTGTCCACAATACCGGCCTGAACAATCATAGGCAAAGCTTCGATTTCTGCCGGTCCAAGGACTAGAGGGATATCTGTTAGAAGACCCCGCTGTTGATCACCAGGACGGCCACGGTATTCGTCGTCTTCCTCTTCTTCATCATCGGCTTCTCCGTCGACGCCATCGTCATCCACATCATCCTCGCCATCTCCGTCCACGCTTCCGTCAGCCATATGATCCAGGCTGTGTGAATCATCATCCCCAACTGTGTGTGAATCACCGTGGTCATAGTCGTGCTCTTCGTCGCCATCGATATGTGATGGCTCCTGAAGCCGAGCCATGAGTTCATCCTTGGCCTCTTGGAGGGTCTCGGCAGCCGATTGAGCTGACCGGGGCATACTGGTATCTTCATCTGTAACAGGTCCATCGACAGCGCCAAAATCGTTGATCTCTGGAAGATCAGCCCAGCAAAGACGAGGGAAACCAGCCGTGAGACTGCGATCAATAGTCAGGATGGTCTTCTTCTTGGTGATTTCGTGTTCCTCTTCTTCCTCGTCGTGTTCCCTGTGGTCATCGTGCGCCTGGTCTTCGTGGCCTTTAGGATCCTCGTGCTCTTCCTCGGGAAGCGCAGCCGGGAGCTCACGAGCGCGGTCCTGGAGATCAGACCAACCGTCAACCTTAGCCCCTAGTATCGCAGTCAAAGCAGCTCTGATATCCTTGACCTGGTCTGGGTCTCTGCCCATTTCTTGAATAGCGCTGAGGTCTCGCCCTAAAATCCTCTCCATGTGATCCTTAATGTTGGCCAGAAGCAGCATGGCAGCCTCTTCCTTGATAGTTGCCGGCTCCCGGGGGAACTTGGCGATAGTCTCCAATAACAAATCCTCTGCAGTTTGGTCGTAAAGTGCGCGAATGGGCGGGTTGATGACACGCTCTCCAACTTGTACAATAGGCGCCACTCCTTCTCGCGAGCTGGCATCGTCCAAAGGCTCCTTGGGTTTTATGATGTTCGTATCAGCGGTCGAATGGTAACCAAACAGATCCAGCCAGAGAACCATCTTGCGATGCTCATTGTGCATAATAAAGTTGTGAAGGTACTGTAGACATGTAATCAGAAGGCGCTTATAGAGGTTGACGACTTTCTGCCATCGCTCCTCGTTCCGCGCATTTTGCTCGCCATCGAAGCCTCGAGCAGTCACACGAACACATGTGTCGATGAGAGCTAGAATCCTTTGGTCAAATCCGGTTTCCGCCGCGAGGTTCTGTGCCTTCTTGGTTGTGGCGAGGAGATTGCGAGCGATTGTACACAGATCATTCAAGCGCTCAATGTCTTTGACCAGTGAGAAATAATTGTATGCGATCAGATTTGCAGATGAGTGTTCGTAGCTTGCTGCGGGGCTTTTCCATGCGAAAGATTGGGACTCAAGGACGGGGATTGCTTTTGTGAGGACGTTCGTGAGACCTTGCCAGATATCCGGCGACATGCCGAGATTGTGACTAGCAGGGCGCAACGAATTAGTATACAAAGCATGCAATGGTCAATGATATTGCGATCATACCGAACATCGCTCTCCTGGTGTGTCTTGTACAGGATCTGCTTCCCAGCGGCAAGCATGTGCTCCAAGCGCTTGTCATCAATCATGCCTCGAACTTCGTAGTGGCTCAGTGTCCCTGCAAGGATTACCTTGAGCATGAGCTCAGCTGGCGTGCATAATGGCTTTGGATCTGCCATACTGCAAAGAAAACTCCAGCTGTAACGCGTATTCCTTCAAACGGTAAACAGCGCGGGGAGATCAGAGTGGGATGAAGAATCTAAGATTCGGAGGTGTGGAGAGACAAATTTTCCGCCCGCACGAATGTTATCGTTATCGCCCATTCGCCCATTCTAAGCTCCCAGGGCTATTATTACGCTCATAGCTCTCTTATTGGAGAACTCAGACCTTGGAAGGTTCCTTGGACGTATGTTGTATACTTTTAAGGTAAAAGTGCTCCAAATTGCCTATAATATTCAAAGTCTATAAACTAGTTGATAATACTCTACTAGTGTATCCATGGATGCTCCATAGTATTTCCGTGGTGCCGAACTAGTACATTTTCTATTTAGAAACCAACAAGAAGTACAGAATTCGACAAAATAGTATGAAAACCAGATAAAAAAAGTCAGTCTAAAATGACACCAATAAGACACCAAAAATAGCCATATACTAGTCCAAGATCAATGGTTGGTCGTACTACTATTATTGTGAATTAAAAGAACTATATATGGTTCGTGAAGGCAGTGATTGAGGCGGCAAGGTAGTGTTCAATGAGAGGGTTATGAATCGGTGGCATAGCTATTTAAACTCATCGCCTTTTAAGCATAGTCTCACTTTGAATGTCGACAACTTGTAGATAGCGTCTTCGGAAGTATATTTTAAATATTCCTTTAAATCAAAGTTCAAACTCCACAGATATTCCACACAAAGAGGTTAATGCCGGATATCTCCTTAGATTAACGGACAGATAGTCCTATCACGTCCCGAAGATTATACCAAAAGCCCATATCGTAGATGTTGTCAATATCTCTCATAGTATGAATTCGCTTCCATCGAGGGTCAGGAGGTATGTCTGATCCTGGCCGACGAGCAATGCAATTGGACTCGGAGGCCAATAAACATCCTTCAGTTGGGGGATTTTCATCAGTGACAAGGATTTGATCAGTATGAACAGGCCACAGTTGATCATACGGATCCATAGGAAGAGGGCTGTCGAAAATGAGACTCCGGTTTGTCTTGAAAACGAAGCCGTCTTCCACGTCTTCTTTCCAATCGGTCCACTTTGCACTCTCATTGGTTGTCACCCCAGCCCAAATGAGATATGTATGGTACGCCAGGAAAGAGATCGACAGCGGGGCAGTCATCACCATCAGTAGAAATACTGTCCCAATTTTGGGATCAGCAGCGATCACAATACCCCATGTGTTGATCCAGGTTGTCCAGCCTTGCATAACCTCCTGTATCTCTGGCGGAACCATTTGCTTAAGTGTCCCGGAGAGGATGGAATGGCCAAGGTAGGAGCCGTAGATCAACATGACAGAAAGGGAGACCAAGAGCGAGATGAAGTACACGCAATTGTTAGCCCCGACGCAGTTCATCAACCATACACAGTGGTGGTCATGTCGAGAAATACAAGCGCGACAGAAGCTGCAATGCTTGCTGCGCGCTGGCTTGAGGAATTTGCAGGTGCTGCATTGATGTCCTGGATGAAAAAGGACTCGGTCATACGGATAGCGTCTCATCTCTTCCGCATGGTTCTCTGCTGTGATAAATGACTTGGTCACAATACACTTGTACAGCAGGAAATATGGCAAGCTGATAGTTGCGGGTACCCAGAGTCGATGAATGCTCGAAAGCCGAGGCCACGCAGCCGGGACAAAGATGCCTTCTCCAATGACCAGCAAGGAGACAAAGAAGATCTAGTATGCATGGTCAGTATCTATGTGCATAAGTATTAATAAATTCAGAGACCCACCAGGACAAGCGGGTGGTTTTCCTTCAATACATAGCTGCCAGATCGATTCCAGCATCGTAATACCCTTCCGCCGAACAAGCGATTATCGACAATCGCAATTCCATTTGGAAAGTACACCCACAGTACCCTATGCAGCCAGGCGACCGGGGTTTTCCTTGAGCAGTCAGCGCAGAGCTTCAAGAGTTTCTAAGTTGCCAGATAGCTCACCGGAAAGCTGGCAGCCTGCCAAATAGCGCGATAAAGGTGAAAGCCGAGACCGCCAGTATCACCAGACCAACGGTTCTGAGGGCCCCCATTCTGAAGCTCAAGTTCTATCGGTAAGTCCAAAGGATATACTTTTCTGTCTGCATCTTCTGGCGGTATCCTTCACTGTTCCTGCCTTCCTTGACTCGAGGTCGGTCCATGCGGTCTCATCGAAAGTCGTCGGTTGTGTGTAAGCCACGTGACCGCGTTCTCAGTCTCGGCGCGAACCGACGGTTTCAGCTATGACCCTTGTGAATTGAGACTGCCGGAATTACATATGATCGAATACAAGAACTGACAATTGGCTCAGCGAGACAACGCCTGTCTTGTACCATAGCCCGCTGCTGAATGGGGGAAGAGCCCCTTGCGACACGTCAACACGTGATACCGCGTCGCAGACAAAGCTGGCCTACTTTAGGGCGTGAAAGCTCGAGGAAGAGCTTTTTGCGGCTTGATTTCTGAGAAGCTAAAATGGCAACTTTCACAAATGACTCCTCTCGGGCCGAGACTACGGCAACGAATCTGTTTCAAGGCGCACGATTCTGGCTATCTCTCACTGTTCCACAAAGGTCGAGGTTTAAAGAATTAATTAAGGTACTTCGGGATCAATTTATCTTCTTTAAAGCTTGCAGAGGTTAATGGGTATCTAGCAATATGGTGGTACCGTTGTGCTGATGGAGAAGGATGCCGATGTGAAGCTGGTGGATCACACGAGAAAAGACCTGCCTAAGGACACGTACGGAACACGGAACTTTACTCGCTCAAGATCAGTGTACTAATTCAATATTAGATTCTCATATCGATATGTAGAGCGTTCTATCAGCAAGGGACGACTCGAAGATCTAGAAGCGCACCGGGTTGGGCCATCTGCACCTCGTCCAATGGGTGCATCTAACATTCCCACGAAGAGCACAAGATCGTTCTATACCCTGAAAGAGGACCAAATATTGTTTGACTGGGTCGAAAACTTTGAACAAGAGCCAGGGGCGCCTATTCAAGGCAATAAAATTTACCAAGATCTAAGTGAACTGGTATGATGCTCTCTTGGTTCTGTCAAGGCTACAGGGCACACACATCTAAATCCGATACTAACCGGTAGGGCATAGTTTCCCGCTCACCCATGGCAATCCTGGCGTAGTAGATACATCAAGCATCTTCGTGGCAAAGGCCGTCCAGGGGGCGGCACCCCATTATCATATGACGAACTTTTACAGTCTGCACCACCCCAAGGAGGACGCCCAAAGATCTTACCTGCCCGAATTTCCCTAAATGACTCCACAGCAAAATCTAGCTCAAGGGTTCCTCGGCTGGCACCCCCTGCTCCGGCCCAAGCAAGTACAGCAAACAGCCCAAAACGAAAACGAGATCCGGTCCCTGAAGCATCGAATCGAAAGCGGCTGGATGTTTCACCTACGAAAAGAAGAGCAATTGAAGCTTCTGACACCGTGGGCCTTCCCTCACGCCGTCCCAATCCTGATATCCGGAGACCCCAACCAAAGTCATCAGATGTAGCGGCCACACCACCCTTTACTACACGGCCAGAAAGAGGCCCACCCGGTATCCCGTTGTCAGATACCGGACCGCTTCAAGGCCTTGGGATTCCAGAACTCTTTCCAGTCCTGAACGCTTCCATACAGAGCCCTAGCCGCGTCCCTCGGGAGACCTCACAACGACAACGACCAGCAGATGTAGCAGCCCCGCCAGCCCCGCCAGCCCCACCGCGGCCATTGGGGGACAATGCCTTCGCACAGTCTGGCCGATTCAAGAAACAAGCATCGAATCCTAAACCACGAGTCAAAGATATCTTCAAAGACCCAGTGGATCCCATTTTCCTAGAGCTCCCATTCTTACCATCAAGCCCAGCATCCGAGACGACTGACGATGACACCTCAGATGTGCCCGACGTTGATACTTGGATTGATCAACGCCTGGCTCTAGGTGCCAAAGAATCCCACGTGTTCGATGCTCTGCGGTGTACAAGCATGGTCCCAGGGATGGCAGATAAGGTTCTCAAATACCTCACCGCTGGCAAGGGTATTCCCGATGATATGCCGGGAGTCTGGACAGCAGAGGATGATAGCTGTTTACAAGCGGAGGATTATTCGCGGGTGCGGCGAGTGTTGACGAAGCACGGCGCAGAAGCGTACAAGGATAGATGGGAATATTTCAGCATGGCCCGGCAGACAGGACTTATTGAATAATTGAATAATACACATGAAATGTGGAACTTGAAATCACACGAAGGATGACTACAATGGACGAGTTGAAATTGTGAAGTACATGAACATTAGCGTGCAGCTAGAAACGAAATACTCCCCGAAGACACCGGTATGACCTGCCCAGAACGCAAAGAGGAAATTGGAACTCAAAAGTAAACATCAATGTAAGGGAAGCAGTGCCATATTCAAAACGCGTTGGTCGCAGTAGAGGGAGAATTGTAGCGATGGCCACTCGCTATTGCACATCCGAAATTGAAGAAACGGCCTAGAAATATCACATGTGTACCAGTTTATTGGTGATATATCGACTTGTCAATGAGCAGGATAGATTTAGTTATCCTTAAAGACACTATGAGAGACGTTAGGAACGAATTCCGAGCTTTCATTAGGAGATTCTAACTCACAGATGCGATTCGTAGAACTTAAGCATCTAGTTTGATGGTTAGCATCTTTATCGCTGTTTTGGCACGGTGTAAGAAATACTTTCAGAGGACACTTTTCATAGCAGGCCTGGACGGACAGTTTCGCCTTGCGTCCATTGTTGAACTCGAGCCACGCCATGAGACCTGCCTCGCCCTCCCGGACAATTGTATCCACCGCTTTCACTTCCTTATCCCAGTTCTTCCCCTTTGGAAGCCATTGAATGCCATTTTCTTCGGACGAGTGGGAAGCTTGACTGGTTGTCTCCTTGGGTGCTGATTTTCGGCGCTTTCTCTTGGCTTCGCTCGCTGCGGGGCCCGGTGCAGGCTTAGCAGGCTTCGAATCACCCATAGATTTGCGCTTGCGACCTGGCTTTCCTGCCACGCGTGGCTCTTCGGGCCTCTTCGGGCGACCACCGATCCTCTCGTAGTATGCTGTGACAATATCGGAGGCCCCATCCCTATAGTGTTTGTCAATAAATGCGCGAAACAGATGTCGAAGCCCAACAAGCGCACAAACTTACATGAGACCACTTTCCTCTTCCCATGTTTGGTCTTCTAACTTGTCGTAACCCTTCCATTTCACGAAGAGCTTAAAGGTTCCCTGTAGTTGGTTGGTTTCTCGGCACAATGAGACTGAGCGTTGTGAACATACATCATCAAGCCAAGCGTGATCAGTAATATCCTCGACGACGTAGCTGCATCCAGTCAGAGAGATGTATCGATCAGTCGGCCGCAATGCGCAACTGACAGTCCTTCTTCCTCATCCTCATCCTCATCCTCCTCCTCTTCGTCTCCTTCGTCCCGGGAGTCATGGAAGTCACGGTCGTCTTTGCCATTTGCTTCGGGTCCATTTCTGTAAGGAATGTCGGCGACTTCTTCGTCGGATACATCTTCAATGGGAGCTAAGGAACGAATGAGGTCAATCGAGATGCTCAGCATTGCGCGTGCGACAGATCAACATTAGGAGAAAACACTCACGAGGCATGTTTCGGTTGAACGGTGAGATGAGATTAGAGAGTTTGGAAAACAGATTGGCGATTAGAGGATTGAAACCTCAATGGCAACGGTAAATTCAGGCGAAAGACGGTCGCATCCAGAGCAATCGAGACAGTCGAGAAGCAGAAACGCGTTAAAGGCGGACAAGATACACTATACCGCTTTTGGCAGTCAGAATTTCATTTGTCAAAAGTGCATTTCGGGAAGCTCCCCTCAAGGCTCAGCTTGCAAGTTCACACTGCTTTGTCTTTTTACTTACTCTTCATTATTTCTCGATCTCCTTGTCGGGTTCCCTCCTTTAATAATCTCTATATTTTGCCAGGTGGCAGCCCACCGTCAACATGGCAATGCGTAAGGCCGCACCCCCATACCCCTCATTCTTGAAATGTGCTGTGGCTAACTATGTGGATTTTGATCTTCAACAGAGCTTGATATGTCTCAGGGTGATTACTCCTCGAATAAGATGGTGCAACTACGATTCGGTCGCTGACATCAAGGGACAGCTTCAATCTTGAAGGATGAGCAGGGACGGCCGTTTATTGTCGTTCGGGAGTACGTTCACCGCTACGCTTTATCCTCCGTTTTCAAATACCATTGAGAGCCGAAAGGTTGAGACATGAAACTGACGGGGATTCTTTTGAAAACAGTCAGGGAAAGAAGAAGAGACAACATGGCACTGAGGCCGTTAAGGCACACATTGTTGCCGCCAAGACGGTGGCCAGCATTGTCAAGTCTTCTCTGGTATGACAGTCGGCAAGCAATGAATGGACAGATATCTGACTCTCGTTTCCAGGGTCCCCGTGGTCTTGATAAGATTTTGATCTCCGCCGATGGCGATATCACCGTCACCAATGATGGCGCAACTATTCTCGGACAGGTTCGACCCTGAAGTCCTTCCCCCGGAGAGATCCAATTCTGGTTCGAGAGACTGATGCGATGGTTACGGTTAGATGGAGATCACAAACAACGTCGCGAAGCTGCTGGTTGAACTTTCCCAGTCTCAGGACGAAGAGATCGGTGATGGCACGACCGGTGTGGTGGTGCTGGCAGCGGCCATGCTTGAACAAGCCTCGGACCTCATTGACAAAGGCATCCACCCCATCCGGATAGCCGACGGATACGATCAGGCCTGCGAAATTGCCGTTGCCGAGCTCGACAGAATTAGTGACGAGATTACATTCAGCCAAGATGATACCACCAACCTCCTCAAAGTGGCCAAGACCAGTCTGGGCAGCAAGATGTACGGATTCTTAGCTGTATATTAGTTCTATTTGATGCTGACGGTTTCCATAGTGTCTCCAAGTCCCACGATCAATTCGCCAAGATCGCTGTTGATGCCGTGCTCTCGGTTGCTGACTTTGAGCGCAAGGATGTCGACTTTGAGTTGATCAAGGTTGACGGCAAAGTCGGTGGGTCCCTTGAGGACTCTCTGCTTGTCCGGGGTGTTATTATAGACAAAGACTTCTCTCACCCCCAGATGCCCGACGAAGTTCGGAATGCCAAATTGGCCATCTTGACCTGTCCCTTTGAGCCTCCCAAGCCCAAGACCAAGCACAAGCTTGATATCACATCTGTTGAGGAATTCAAGAAGCTGCAGGACTACGAGAAGGAGAAGTTCACAGAAATGATCCAGCAGCTGAAGGAATCGGGTGCCAACCTAGTCATCTGCCAGTGGGGTTTCGATGATGAGGCCAACCATCTTTTACTCCAGAATGACTTGCCTGCCGTTCGGTGGGTCGGTGGGCCTGAGATTGAGTTGATCGCTATTGCCACAAACGGTCGTATTGTGCCCCGATTCGAGGATCTGACCCCTGACAAGCTCGGCACAGCTGGTATTGTCCGCGAGATGAGCTTCGGAACTACGAGGGAGAAGATGCTGGTGATTGAGGAGTGTGCCAACACCCGCGCAGTAACAATTTTCGTTCGTGGAAGTAACAAGATGGTGAGTCAAAACCTGCACCATACGTAGGGAGATGTGCCGGTAGCTAACTTCTGCTACAGATCATTGATGAGGCTAAGCGGTCACTACACGATGCTCTATGCGTCGTTCGCAATTTGGTGCGCGACAACCGTGTCGTCTACGGTGGTGGTGCTGCTGAGATTGCTTGTTCTATCGCCGTCGAGGACGCCGCTGTCAAGAGCCCCGGCATTGAGCAATATGCCATGCGTGCCTTCGCTGATGCGCTAGATGCCGTGCCCTTGGCCCTTTCCGAGAACTCTGGTTTGAGTCCCATTGAGACCCTTGCCTCTATCAAGTCGCGTCAGGTCAAGGAGAAGAACACCCGTCTCGGTGTTGACTGCATGATGACTGGCACCAACGGTACGCTTCTAGACAACCATTTCATACCCCGTCATTTTCATCGGCTAATTTGGGTTCTGTAGATATGCGTGAGCACTTCGCTATTGACCCCTTGATTGGCAAGCGCCAGCAACTTCTGCTTGCCACCCAGCTGTGCCGTATGGTTCTTAAGGTACTGCTCCCATTAACTCTTTCTGTCGCGCTCGATGCTAACCGTCAATCAGATCAACAATGTCATTATCTCTGGTGATGATCAGTCTGAGTTCTAGATCACTAGATTCTAGTCCTATTCCACGATGGTAAAAGAAAAAAAACTGATGATTCTGGTTTGCTATGTAAAAACATGGTCCCTTACATAGAACCCTTCTAGTTTCAATAAGAACGAAAGGATTGATAATGTCTCTATCTGGTCACTGCTTCTGACCTTGCTCTTGATATGGGCCTTTATACCTACATCTCGTAGAACGCCGCAGCCCAGAACGGCATCTAATTCGAACAATCAACATGAGCGCCATACGCATACGCAGGTGAACATAGCCATACACCTATTGGTACAACATACTCATCTCGCCCATGAATCCCAAATACCGGTATCATCCCTTGTGCCTCGGGTTCACAACATGTGAACTGGAAGTCCTTGCCGAAACTACAGCAATCGCGAAATACATACCAGTCCGGTATGTAAAAGCAACCTAAGCCATCCAGCCAGGAGACAAGCTTGTTCCGTAGGAGATCCGTGCTTCCATTCGGGATCGTGTGGGATTGTCTGTGTTCACGAGGGTCACCCGATATGCCGAGGAACAACAACGTACCCATAAGAAGATAGACGCACTCCCACCACAAGATCAACTGACTTATTGGCTTTTCGGAGCCTGGCTTCCATTCCCCCTCGGTGCGCATTTGTGGGGTTGCCCATTTTTTCCGTCATGTTTCTTTCGCAATAAGGTCTTCTAGACTAATGGACGAACGGACCTAAGTAGCTAGTGACATGTCCCATTATGGGGATATACATCGTGTGGTTGCCCGGATACGAGAGTGAAATTCTAATGTTTGAAATCGGCATCAGGCAGTCGACGTATACTTTCTTTTAGACAGCACCTGAAGCCTTGCGTGCCAAGTTTAGGTCATGATGGGCAATGCGTTAGCTCCTTGGACTTTGTCATTATGTATTCTCATTCCCACTCACGACTGTCCTCTGGATTTATGCGAGCGTCAGTGCTAAATACGACTTTTTCTCTTTCCTTCCTAAATAAATCCTTGTGGGGCGAAGATGAGATAGTCTCTGCAGGCACAGTATAGAAGCCCCCACTCTACGAGGTAGCCTGTACGACAAGAAGATTCCGATATCATTACTAAAGAGTAGTTATCTACGCGCTATTCATACCTGTAGTGTCGTTTTAATACAAGTTATACAAATTCAGAACAAGCTCATTGTCCCGAATGTGTTGAGTTGTCGTGACCCGGGGAACTACGTCGAGAAACAAAGTGTCGGCCTATAGGACGGACTGGAATTGTGAATTGAATATAAACTCGATAATAATCATAGCTTAGGCAATTGACAGAGCTTTTCTCGGAATGACGCCCGAATCAGAATTTGACGGTGAAGGCCGCGTACTAAGTCTCAGTCTTGATAAGATATATTTATACTTCTAAAAAGTGTAGAAAGGATGTCATTATTTCCAACATCTTTCAGGGCGTAGAGGAAGATAAAATATTCTTTTCTTTTCCCGGTTTCCTCCTCGAGCCGGTATAGTAGAGCTTTCAACTTCTTGTAGGCTTTCAGCTGTTGATTCCAAGGTTTCACAATGCATGGAAGTACAACCCCAGTTCCCCGCGATTCATGGACCATAGGATTCGGAATTTTGCTAGTTACTACAGCTCAACTGAGGGCGAGACAGGCCTAGACTAGATCTATTTTCTCTCTTTCGTTTCACATGTAAACTCTTGACATTGGGAGCTGGCTATCTTAATCTGGAGTGTTGAGGAGATGCCCTCTTATACGTGTGAGTTTATATTGCTGAGCATTGAAAATGATGGGTCACTTCGGTCTAGACGGAGAAAGAGTCAATAATCTGATATATCGCTTAGCCAGACCCCATATACTCAGACACAATAGTGCCAACAGCTATCCGTCGTATTTTGAAACACCAGCTGCGCCAGAAAGCCATTGAACTCGAAATACTGTATTGCAGGACAATTCCAAAGCAAACGAAGTAATAGTAAATGCCGTAAATAAAGACCTTATAATGTGGGCATATTAATATATTCATACCACAGCTGCATTGAGGATTCCTATACATAGCATACACGATTTCAATGCATCGCATCCCACGGCAGATCAATTTAAAGTCCCCCATGACCTGCAGCGGGTCGTGTTTTAGAGTATCTTCATTGGAATATGAGAAACCGGGCGGCAGCCGCCACCACAGGAGACGGACGTCAGCTCCAGCATAGCCGTGGGTGAGTACCCTAGGGCACAACGTACCCTGCTTAGGCAGATTATGTACTTTTGTACATGGATTGGGTCGATCTGGGCCGAATTAAAATCCATCGTTGTGGTGTGACACCGCTGACAGGTACGAGGGCAAGCCCCGATCTGGCGCCCATTTTCGTGGCCGGGATTATATTACGTGGGACACGCGGGTCTGGGTGGTTGTGCTGGCCTTTCTGTCTTTCCTTTTAGTCCTCTT